ACAATCTAAGAATCATGGCCGAAGCAGATACAATGAAGGACTGTGGCATGGCGACCGGCCATCGTCAAAATGCAGCCTATCTTCAGGGGTCCTCGTCCTCGAATCGATTATATTCGAAAGAACGCGTTTCGGACTCCTCTGATCAGACCCAAAAATGAAGTCAGATGAAAAAAAAGCCGGACAGTAAACTAGGCTTTCTCGCTCAACTCGGATCCGAGCCTTCTGCCAGTCAGTCGACCAGGCCGTCAGTCCGTCAGCTAAGCAGTCCAGGAGGAAAGAATCGATAGACAAACAAAGGCTGCCTGCTCCGAGGCCGAAAGGTTCTTCTCGCAGCTTTTGTCTCTAATTGTCATCCTGTGGCGTCGCGAATGGAACCAAAGTCATAGGGTGACGGGTGAGGACGGTCCAGGCAGCTCTACGAGAACGAACACCACAAGCGAGCATAAGAAAAAGATGAAGACGGGGGAGATTCAACCATCTGGATACAGGCTAGCTTCGATCCGCATGTCTGGACTACACGATATGTTAGAAACAAGGGCTGCTCAGCTCACACCTTCTTCTCGCTGCCGACCTACAAATCTCTGATAACACCCACATCACACCGCATCAGATCATACTCGGAAGTTCATGCTCTCGCTTTGGACGGGAAAACTCAGGTCGACTTGGTTTCCGAGCCACGGCGGAATATCCCAGGACGGATGAAGCATAATGGGAATTGGAAGTATCGCTGTCGAACCAGTCGCCGTTGGATGAGAAGTCAGTCAAATTGAAGATCGGATAGAAATTTGACGGCCGACAACTTCCCCGAAAGAGACGAGAAAGAGACTAGCAAGAAAGAAACTGACGATGGCGCAACCACAGGCAGATCGGTTCCTCAGACTGATCACAAGATGTGTCGTGAAGAACAAAAAGGAAGATGCGACGCGCCTCTTCCGGATCAAATTGAGGTGCAACTTGAGGGGAAGACTGCGAAGGGGTTTCTAGCGGAGGAATCACGAGCTCCCCGCAGTAATGATCACCTGCCTCACCTCATTTCTGTTGCGGCTCTCGAAGCTTCTTCTGAACCATCCGGGTGTGAGGTCTCTAAGCAGAAGCGAGCGCCACCGAACACGGTTGGCACAACCCTCCAATAGGTGTTGCTGCAACCATCGAGATCGTGCAAAAGATAGAGATGCCCGAACCATTTCACTTCACTCAGAATCTCCCCATGTATGATTCAGCAATGTACATAGTATCCGATAAATTTCACCTTATTCCGAGTCCCGATCCAGAATCCTTTATTTTTCATCGAAAATACAGGTTCGAGCACTGGTTTGAGCCCCGCCGACATCGGATCGAAACGCACCACGAGCTAGCGGGGTATCCACAAGAACTCAAGTAATGAGAAGTATTCTCGCCAAGAAGCTAGATGGGGATCCGTACGGAAAACTGCGAATGGCAGACCGAAAGAAGATGTCGTAAATACTCGCCCGAGGGGGAATGACACTTTTATTGCCCAGCTGAATAGCAAATGTCTGAGAGTTCCACAAAAAAAGATGCTAAAGCTCTTCGTGCTGAGAGCATGACTTCTTATTTCTCGAAAAATGCTTCCGAAGCGATTGTGAGTCGAATTCTTCCAACCCTCTGCCCCATCTTTCTGCCATCTGCGGGGGTATGGAGCAAACCCGGATCTTAAGATGGCCAAACTCATCGCACTCCGTGAATAAGATCGGGCTATATGTATATCGGGCTAGAGGATCGAAATTCGGAATATTCAAGACTCTACCTCATGAAATGACAAGAACGAGAAACATGGTACCCCTCCCGGTTCGAGTTCGCCCACGAAATTCAGCCGACCCGTATAATACTGGTCGTTGTCGTGGCCGCCGCTGCTACGGATCATCATAACTGAACGAAGGAAGAAAACAAGCGGCGGACGGGAGGGATTCATCCCAATCAGCGAACGCTGTGAAAAAGGACCGTACACACTGGTCGGCCGGAGATAGACTGGCGAACATCAACCCCCGTACGCTTGAGTAATGACGAGGCGCAATTATCGCAATTAAGGATGAACACTTATCGATCTATGCTTCAGCCGCGGCCGCTGCAGTTAACCGAGTGGAAGGGACGACACGCTGATCGCGCTCAGGAAGCTAGCTAAGAACACTAATGTAAGTACGAACCTTAGCGAAGAGCCAAGCAAGAGGTAGATGCTATCTGTAAGTCGAGCATTTAGGCGGGTTCCTAGAACGGGGCTCAGGGGACTGACGCGATAGACGAACACCCCCGCTCCGAGTGATGGCTCGAATACCCAATGTCGCCACCGAGAGCATCGCTCCTGCGGAAATCTGAAATTCCAGATAGGATACGCCGAACATTTCTTCTCATTTCCTCTGTTAGTTGGAGGAGTCTTCCCAAAAAGATCATTGGCTTAGAACAAGTCGGGTATGATAACGCGAAGCAGTTGGAAGCTCTATCCTTCGAGCTCGAAAAATTCATGCGCGTTTCGCCGTTGTCATTGCGAAACCCACCTGTGACACCTCCGACCTCAAAGAGAGGACATTTTAATCCAAGAAGAAAAGGAACAGAGCGAGTCAAGGAAGCAGGAGGGATTTCAAAAATTAATAACTTGGCCGCCGAGATTCGCGCCAAGATTCAGCTCCCCGCGCTCGTCTTCCGGCCATTCCTCTATTCCCGATTCGCGGAACGCTGTTTTCTATTGAGTGCCTTCACGGTGACCGGACTCCCCGTTCCCCTGAATTCATAAACTTCCGGTTTCCCTCAATGACGTTGTTTCAATGAGCAGACCTCGGTCGCGATAGGGACGGAGAAGGTATAATGGAGTATTCCGCCGCTCGCGATTCCCGCAGCAGTGCAGCTCAGATTAGAAGCGAGATTAAGAGTCTTTCATGTCGATGATTTCGAAAAAAAAAATTAATAACACCGTCCCCGCTACGGCCTGGTCGTCTTTCTCGTGGGTGACCCCACGGGATTGTGTGCGGTGTGAGGATGTCCACGAATCGGGAGCGGAACAATAGAGTCGGCGTGCTTCGATTAAAGCTCAAACTTTCTCGGAAATTTCATGCTCCGAGCAGCGTATGTCACAACCTGGTCATCCCTATTCTCGAGCTTCCGTACGGGATTTTCGATTTGCTGTCGCCTTACCACGGGAACCGAGTGAATATCCACTGAAGCGCGAATTCCTGAGAAACCACAGATACTTTCCCGCGTTCCGAGCACACGATTCCTCGTGATACCTTCCAGGCCCCCGCGTTCCAGAGGAAGGTGCTTTTCATGATAAAATTTGCATCTTTTATTATTGTTATTACCTCTTGTTATAATAATAATTATTATTATTGTCTCCTCTTTTATTACCATAATTATTATAATCATTCTCTTTTCCTCAATTTCATCGATCACGGTGCGGTTACATTCCTCATTTCGCAATTGCTCTTCATGGAGTAAAGGTTAAAGACGCATTCCTTGGCGTCACGTAAAGAACAAACTTTTTCAGTTCTGCCTTTTTGCTTGTGTGATCCTGGCTCGCCAACACGTCGGAATGAGAACTCTCACTCGACCGTATGATCATGTACTCCTCCGCACAGCAACAAAAGAGTGCGAGCCTTGAGCTGGCTCTCGAGGTTCTTCATGAGGGATTTTCGAGCAAAAAACATGATCTGGATCTGATTCAAAGCGGATCTCGAAACAGAAACACAAAAAACCTCCCCTAGGCGCGTATCTCGGTGGATACCTCCCTCGCCTGACTTCTTAAATTGCGGGATTTGTTCCTCGACATTCCTCCTACAGCGACTCACTGGACAGAGTTCCAGTTTCAGCTCTACATGAAAGAAAATGGATAAATACACCTAGGTCGAACGATGTGCCAGCCGGCGGCAGCATGTCTTTAGAATTGCGACTTGTTGGAGGCAGTCAATTGGAAAAATCTAGTCTCGAATGTTTTCTAGAGGCTCCCTCTTACGACAAATATGAAAACGCGAATTCGAAGAATGCCTGCGCTCGGGATGTCCTACCATTCTATTCTTCCTTGTTTTGGGGAAATGAAAAATGCCGCTTGAGCTCATCGGCTCGAGTAAACCGCTCCAGGCATGCAGGCAAACAGCATCTAGAAAAATCCGCTCCATTTTCCCTCAGTGAAATTTCAGTCTATAGAAAAATACAACGTATGCTACTGTTCCGCGGTATCTTCGAATCTATCATGATCTGCGTTATAATCGGTGATTCAAGTTCACCCGGCTGATGTCCCCATTCGGTTTTTTCGCGATTCTCGTAGTATATCCATATCTCAGCCGCAGCTCGTTTTCATAGCCCCTTTTCCCTCTCTGACATTTCCCGTGGAGGATAGCTCGTCCGGTGGATGTTCTGTTGTTGTGGTGAGTTCCATCATCATTCTCAATATATGTCTCTGCTGCCTACGCAATTCATCGATGAGTGAAGGCGGTTCGTGAATCATATTCGAATGAACTCGTACATCGTTATCAGCATCATCGTAAGCATCATCTGTATTCCGGATAGCTCGCTATCCCCCTCGCAATTACACTCGTCTTCGTAGTAATTATAATCATCGTCATCATTATCAGCAAAATGTTTGATGCTGTTGGTTCGACTTCGAGCCGGCAGACGGCGACCGCAAAACGGTCGTGAAACTGGAATTGGCACATTTATCTTCATTCAATCCATGAAGAAATATTCTCTCCTCCATCACCTTCGTTCTTCTCCCGACGGATCTCTATCATGCACGCAGACAAGAATGTATTCCATTGAACATACAATATTGGAAAGAATTTGGCTGGTAAGCTCCTCCCCCCTTTCGAATTCGATACCGGTTCCCAACATCATTGTCCCCCCCTCCTCATTTTAATACTTGTACATCACATTCGAACTAAACCCAGTATTTTCCACTAGTTCCGACAGACTGGAGACTTCAAGCAAGGGTAAGCATGGGTGTGTATGTGTGTTATGGCTCAGTCGGCCCCCGGCTCCATCGTTTGAGCAGCGATGATAACCGAGAACTTCTCTTCCGAGAATGACCGAGCGAAAGCTTGCTTTGCTACAAGGTAAGCTATAGTCAGGACCACTGCGAGGTCTTGATTCATGCTCGTCTACACTGAAGCTCGTTTCAATATCGACACCGCGGGGAACTAGTTCTCCGTCACGGTGTACTTATCGTCCATTTCAGTTCCATACTTTTTGACGAGTTTTGGCTTCTATGACCTCGCAATGGCAGCGACTTGGACTTGAAGGTTGAGACAAAGAAGGAGCCGTCCACGTCGAAAACGGACTCCGCCAGATCACTCGAGCAGAATCTCGCCGTGATCGCCGCCTGTCTTCTCCGTGTGCTTCCCTCTTGTTTTGTTTTCGGTGCTTCGTCCTCTTGACTCCAACCTAAGACTTCACCAGTTGGCCATACCCGGCTTGTTGAGTGTCATGAAGTAGATTTGACATGACGACCCGCCTTTCGCTGATGAAAAGAATACCTGAGGACCGAAAAGCGGCGCATAAGCCTTTGGAGCCACAGTTCGACATAGCCTTCGATTACTATCCACCGAACATCAACATCAGGGAAGGAGTATCATCGACTGGCTTTACGCACCTTGTCGTTCCTCTCGCAAAGGAACTTGAGTCTCTGCGCCTTCTTGTGCATGAAGACCCCGTCGAGATGTCCCGAATCGACGGACCTGATCTCAATGGCCTTGTTACCCCAGCCCATGATCTGGCCGGTTCCGATGAACGCAACTGACGTCGGTGCCTCTCCCCATTGGAGCATTATATTCTTTGATACACGGCCGTAGGTTGACACGTAAATGCCTTCGTCTGTTCCGGGAGAAACGTGAATCAGATTCATTACTGATATTCAATGACAAGCGACGGTAGATTCATGTGTAGCCGTATAGGAGCTGAGCAACCCCGATTCTACGGTTTTTCGGCGACCGACTTACTGTCGTAACACAGAAGGAGTTGCATTCCTTTCGTATTGGGGAGGGTTACTATCGTGTGAGGCGTTATTGAGTTCTGAATCTGAAAATAGAGAATTTCGAGCTCAGAATCCCAGTGATTTTCCTTGAAGCGTCCCGTGAAGGAAGAAATATAGGAGAGTCGACTCGACTCATAAAACCCGTCGATACGCATTCGGATTCCTTCGTTGGTCTGCATAGCCTCGCATCGTCGAATCTTGATTTTTTCCGGTCATTGAGGTTGTCGAGGGGAGAATGGACCCATCCCCGATGATTTACGGAGAATGGGCACAACGGCGAGCGGAATCAGGATACCACAGAACACTCTCCGGGTAACAGGAAGAACAGCATTGGGAAAATGCCTTGATCGCTAACTCGATATCACCCGGAGGCAGAGCTCCGAGGAATGTATGTATTCATGCGGGGAAGCGCTTGCGGCAAACAACAGATTCCTCTCCGTACTTTTCTGTTAGTTCGTACGAGAGTAGATTTTCAGTGAAACGTGCGAGAGAGAAGTAAAACACATTCACACCGGAGTCGCATCAACTCACCCCTTCGGCTCCTCCACGGTCCTACAGCGGCGAAGAAGACAATATAAAGAACATCCACACATCAGTTAAACTTTCACTGTACTGCTCTCTCAGACGAATGAATTCCCATCCCTACGACCAACATTCTCTCAAACGACAGTACGCTCGTAGTACACACAACATCTCACTCGCGACGCGGAGTTAGTTACAGATCTCTGGCGAGTTTCTCGTGAAATCCCCTGGAGACGAAAAAAGGCAAGAACCACTCACGTGTGATGGGATGTATATGTCATAGACGTTTCCGGAGTCGAGGTCAATGGCGTGGAAGCCTTCTGATGAGCCGTAGATGACTTTGAGACGAACTTCCTCCTCGATGGTCATGTCGACTAGCTGAGGTTTGTGCGGCAGACCCGAAAACGTCTTGAAAGCCATGAACTTGTGGTATGGTTTCGGAGCCCATGCATAGATTTCAACACTTTCTTTCAACGCGATGACCAGAAATTTGATACGTTCGTATTTCACTGCAAAAAGCGTACGAGTCCGTCAATGACCCGCTCGCTCCGATTTCCACCACCGGCTGAAACTATCCGGAGCGTTCCCGGAGCAGCCAACTCACCGATTTTAAAGTGAACCGCTCCTTCGAGGTCACCAACATTGATAAAGCCATTTCTTTTGTCCAATTGGTTACCACTATCCGTTCTCAGAATTTTGCTCTTCAACCAAGACAGATAGTAAACCCTGACACGACACTTCTTGCCGGAAATCGTCACGAGGATGTTCTGCCCCTCGAGAACTTCCATCTGTTGGAAACGACGCCGGGAAATGAGCTGATACACTTTACCCTGCCCGGAGCGGTCTAGGAGCATTAGACCGTTCTCGGTACCGATGAGTAGATTCACACCCCACAAGGCCGCGCAGAGAATTTCCGAATTGAATCTCTTCTTGTATTTGCGGATCTCGGGGGTGTCAGAGTGAGTGCCAGTGATTCCCTGCCCGCCCGTCGTGGAATCCGGGCCCAGGGTGGGGGTCACGTTGACCTGAACGGACTCTCTACGCTGGGCCGTCGATTGACGTTCTACCGTTGACGGCGCACCGTTGGTTCCTATCGGGAAGAGTGGAGGCGCGTTAGTTGGGGGTGATGCGCGGAAACCTCGGGAAAGTGACGGGAGCCGGAGCAAAAATCGCGTCTCCGGGCTGAAGTACCCCCGTGGGTATCCATCATACCCGTACACGAGCGAAAGCCCGTCAACGTACCATTGGCGTTGAAACCGAACGTTAAGAAAGATCTCTGTTTCTGTTGCAGAGGTGTTTGACTTGGCGGTTGGCCTTGAGCTTTGAGCTGCAGGGCCTGGCGATACTCCTCGGACGCTGACTTGTCTCTTCGCGGGAGCAGGTCAGGGAGGTTCCCACCAGAGCGCATGCTTGACTGTGAAGTCGAAAAAGGGAGTCTTTGAATACGATGAGATCGAAACCCATATCACAGGGCCCAGTACTAGCTCATTGGCCATGAGCGATGAGTAATAGCCCTTAATCACGGGAACCTAAGCATTCTGCATCCGTGCATGATGCATTCTAACAAATCAGGGATAATTCCGAAAAACATAAAAAGACCGCTACCTTCTCTTTGTTGTTGTTGACAACGCTATTATTGTTGTTGTTATTGTGATTTCTTGGGATCAGTGGACTCTTGTCAGAGTTGCTGACAAAGTCGCCAATGCTCTCATGTGCCCTCCTGAACGGACTGTGGGAGCTTTGGCTCTTATGCAATGGAGGGCTTGCACTAGAAGGCGATGAAGGACTAGACGGCCCACCGGCTAAAGCTAAACTCGCTCTGCGATGGCTCACGAGCTTGAGGTGCTCGCCCAATAGTGAAACTGCCGGATTCTCTTTCCGTAAGGGACCCATCACGTGGGAGGCACTACTCGATTTCAGCAGAGATCGATTCGGTTGCACCGGCGGGGAAGCTCCTGATCGGACGGCGGCAGACTGTACAAACGAGCAAATGAGGAGAAATTAACTCAAATTATTTATACTCTGGTGAAATGAAAGTAAAATCGAGCAGCCAAGCGTGAGGACATCATCTCTCAAGTTGCGTCGAGCGAGCACTCCATGCGAACGACAAGAGAGGGATCGAAGATCAAGATGGCGCACGCTTTACGGCAAGATGTGCGGAGCGATAACAAATCGGGCGCGGGGACTAGGTGCAGATTCGAAGAGAAGGAGGAGCAACATCCAGGAAGACGTTGGTGAACTTCTGCAGTGAAAGGGACCTACCCTATTCTTGTTTGTGCTCACGAGTGTCCCCGTGGTGCCGTCTTCGTCTGGGGTAGGGGGCAGGGGCCTCGTCGGGGCCTCACTCTCACCCAGCGGCCGCGCGGGGTCACTCGCTAACATCGTGCCGTCCTATAAAAGAGGGAGGAAATCATAGCGCTTTGGGAGTTAATTTCTATATCAACCGGCGACCCTTCTCAGTTGGTTCGGGCGAACTACAGTGGAACCTCGTCACATAGAACTCCGCCATAAGCTAAAGGATCGACGGACCCTCCGTGCCCTTCACTTTTTAGGCGGCGTCCCGGGAAGCCGAGGATCGATTGAATTAAAAAGAAGAGAATCCGGTTCCCCAGTACTGGGATGTTCGTTGTAACAAGGTCAGACTGTAATGTCGTCTAAACTAAAAAGCCCGTGATTGACAGCGTTTGAGTCGAGGCGATTATTTGAGTAGGTGCTTTCGGGTATCGGACGGTCCCCGACTGGAGCATCAATGCGGCTTCTGACTCTGACCTCAAAGCTTCGATAAGAAACTTAGCATTGCTTTCAGGATCACCACTACACATGGACGGATGCGGTGAATCAAGTTCAGTGGCCCAAACTGAGTAGCTGATATTACGAATCGGAAGTAGCCAATTGTGATGTTACGGTTACTTCCAAACCCTCCAACCTCCCACAACATGCCCGGTGCCTTTCTGGCAAATGAGCTCTTCGTTACGGAAAGCACATATCAGCTGCATAATCACGATTCGTGTTAGTAGAAGCCATTTCGATGCTTCTTACCACTCGAACGCCAAGGGGAATATTTATCACTCTTTCCACCATTTCCTGAAAGGACCAGCAGATGAAGATCTTTCTTCCTCAAGTCGCGAGCCTCATCGACCCTCTTGAAAGCAGCTCTCAGGTAATGATCGCTCGGAAGAAGACGATATCTCGAGTATGAGTCAGGCATCCGAACCCACGTCGGAAATACGGTCCCTGTGCAATCGAGGCTCTCCGCAACTCGACGAGTTCCGTTTACGATACGCGCTTCGCACCGGAGTGATTAGAATGAGCAGGTCGGGAATCCGCTTGATTCACGGCTTGTTGTACTGGCTTACCTGCTGCATGTCCCCGTCCGAATCTTCTGAGTCAGAATCTAAAGCTTGTGTCAAATTCGATATTCGTTGCGATGATCTGTTCGGAGCCAACGCTCCGGATCCCAGTTCGTTCAGCTGAGCTGCCAATACCTCCAGGTCTTCGGGTCGTCTCGAGGACGGGGCTGTAGAGGGGTAGAGATCGTTAGTCCGGAAGCGATGTGGATCGAAAGAATTGGAGCTGGAATCTGTCGCTCCACGTCGACTCAGACAATCGAGTCACTACATGTTACTAGCGAGAAACGATTGCGTCATGTCAAGCTTGATTCAGACGTCTGGAACTCACGTTTGGCCGGCTGTCGGTTGGCCGGAGGTAGAGGTGGAGCTCCGTTGCTGCTCGCTCGTGGAGGAGTGGGCTTACTTTCCTGACCCGGGATGGGCGGTAACGGTTTGTTCTGCCGCGAGTTTGGATCCCCGACGACAATCACCCGGTTACCCGCAAGAGGTGGGGGCGCCATCGCTCGACTGCCACCTTGGGGCACTGGAGGGATGCCGGGAGGCTCACGTAGAGGGGGACCCCGCTTCGGCTGCTGGGGCTGGGCCGACGTGAGAGTTCCGTTGTCCATTTGAATTTGTTGGAAGTTGCGTTTAAGCGTGTCGCCTCCGCCGGGTTTCGCGGGAGCCTCAGTTGAGGGGTCGGCCAACGGGTTCGCGACTTCAGGTTCCTCGTCGCTGAAGTCTTCTTGTTCCTGTTGTCTCCCGTTCCCGGCTTGTTCGTGACGCTTGTTTCTTCGTGTTCGATCGATATGATCTTTGAGTTGGATTCGGACTTGCCTTTCGGTAGGCTGATCTTTGATGAAGGCATGCTTCAACAGATGATCCGTGTATGGTCTCTGTTGATAGTCTTTGACGAGGACCGTCTCGATGAACGAGTGGAACTTTTTGTTCCATTTTTTCGACTGGAGCCGAGGCGGCGGATTTCTCGGGATGAGGAACAACGCTCTCATGGGGTGCAGCTCACACAGAGGTGGCTGGCTCTCCGCCATTTCGAGAGCTGTGATCCCGAGTGACCACAAATCCGATCGGTTATCGTAGGTCGCTTCCGGATTCTCGTCACAAGCGATGACTTCTGGAGCCATCCAATAAGGTGTTCCGATGAACGTGTTCCTCCGATCACTGGTCCTATCCAGCTGCGCGGATACTCCAAAATCCACTGGAAACGGACCGATTTCATATTTCGTACTCGTTAATGCGGATCGGGGTCCGGTCAATTCGACTGAGTTCAGCAAGGATTCGTCGCAAGCTTATACCGTATGCATGACGAGGGTACAATACCGATTCGAGGGAGTTCTCACCTAATTTGACCTCTGCATTGTCAGTGAGGAGGACATTCTGTCCTTTGATGTCTCGGTGGATTATTTTGTTCTGATGCAGATGAGCCAGTCCACGTAGAATCTCCCGACAGATATAAGCGATCCATTCCTCTTTGAGCTGCTGGCCCTTAGTTGACTTCACCAGGTCCGTAACACTTCCCGCGCCACAGTACTCCATCACGAGCTGAAAGTACATTTTTTCATGGAGAATGGGCACTCGTACGAGCGATGAGGGATTTTCAATCACTCTGAGAGTAAGAACCGGGAGTCTGGTATCGAAGCGCGCCCGTATATGTCTCCTTACCCATAGCTTGTCGTCTTTTCCAGGCGGACTTTTTTGGATGAATACACCATAGTAAGTGGCTATGTTGCGATGGTGGGAGTATTTTTTGAGAACGTTGATCTCGAGTTTGATCTCTTCTTCTTCGTCCTCGGTGACATCCATGATCTTGATGGCCGCCAACTGACCAGTTTTGGTGTGGCGGCCCTTATATACCTGACCATATGTGCCATTGCCCACGACCTCAATGAGATCGAAAATTCCCGCAGGATCCTGCAATTGAAAAGTAAGCTTCTCGATGAATCGTGCATTGGACGGGATGCATGGGATCGTGATGATCGATAAGCCCGTATTCTACGAAGCGGTCCGCACGGGAGACGTCTGAAGTCATTGCGTAGCGTCGATTCTGACGGAATGTAGTGCGAAATGACTGTTTCTGATCCGCTCAAGATCCACGTGCCGTGTTTTCTCGTTGCGACTATAGTTTCATCGAATCTAAAAAGATGGAATCTACTCCGGTCGAACCTCTTTCTTATGGACCGACCGACCGACCGACCGACCGACCGACCGACCGACTGGCTCGCTGGCTGTCCCTCGACAGGGAAGGTCGACGACGAGGGGGACAATCCACGAATTACTCAACGATCTCTCGACCGCATTCTCGAGCGTGCCCGGGAATGAATCAGATTGATGAAAGTCCAAGATCCGGAGTTCCCCCTTAAAAGGAGCGAGTCGAGTCAACACCCTATCCCTTCGGGGGATCTCTCAATATTCGAATGAATACGTTGAGATGAATTGAGAAAGAGTGGGAAGGGACTCGAAGCAATAATTTCTCTCGATCCCGGGAATACTCGATGGATGGACTGATTGATTATCATTATCATACCTACATATTCGAGAATACGAAATAAGCGATATCATCCGAGGTTTGCAGCTGGTGGCTTAGGGCTCAGCGACCTCCCGAATAGTGTCGCATATCTGTTTGTTCCCATAGCGAAAGTTCGTCGCATCAGGACAACATCCTGGTTAAGAGTTCGAGCGGAAACTATAGGAACGAGGGATTGGATGAGAGACCTCCCCACCGAAGGATCAGCGCTCATGACGTTCGATGGAACACAATGACCGATCACATATGATCCCAGAGCGTTCGTTAGCCGCCAGAACCAACAAACAATCTCTTAGAATCACAAGAGCTGACAGCCAAGATATTGTATCTCGACCCGGAAGGGCTTCCGATCAAACTCCGTCCTGATCGGACACAGATCGGGTCCTTGAGCCGAATTCGGACGCAATAGAATGCGGAGTCTCTTCAAAGTCTTCGTCGAATACTTGTTAGCGTTTCCTATGCCCGAATCCTATGAACGACTCTTCACGGAAACGTCCTTTCCGCATAGGCAGACAACTCACATGTAGCCCGCTGGCCAGATCGAGGTAGAATATTGTGAGAGACCGGCTAAGGATTCAAGGTGTTCGATATATGCGTTGAAGCTTGCCGTTCACGAGAACCCAAATAAACTCTTCTCGGAGCCCCTTCTTCCGAACACTAGCGTGACGCTGGTCCGGATTTCTCCCTCCCGCTCAGCAGCGCACACGGGCCCGATGCGACTTGATGAAACTGCTGGGAGCCGCGCGTTCTCACAAATCATAGATATAAGGTCCTTGGTCGCGGGTAGCTCAAACGTTCCCTGATAAACAGCTTCTAATGAGATCCGCGCTCTTCTTCTGAATCCATCTGCTGCGACAGATGCGCTCTCGTTCGTTTGACTCGAATTCGAGACAAGCTTCATTGAGAGATATGATAATCGTCAGCGCTGATTCCCTACTCGAGGAGTGAATAGCATCGAGGATGGTCGACGGCAGTGCAAGGAAAGGCGCAAACTTCCGACCAGAGGCTCACTCGGAATTCAAATTCATAAGTTTCATCCTAAGGGTTCCGTCTCGACCCGGTAGCGATTCCGACAGAAAGCATTATGATATTCATGCATTCCGTACGCAGCGGCATAGGATGCGGAACGCTTTCCATGAGAGCTCTCTTGTGGGATCCTCGGCGTTCCACTGCAGCGACGGGGGCTCGGACAGAGAACACTTTCCCGCCCACCAGGGAAGGATCTCCAAGAAAGGCCCCAGATCCGAGCTTCTCGGAATCATAAGATTTTTTCCACCGTCCTCGTTCATCCATCTCGCACGGAATCATCTGCAACGTTCCGCTGCTTGCTCTCCGCGATACATTCCTCCGTACGTTCGTTGCTCTCTACGGCTTCTATTTCCGTCCTTTGTTCAGAGGCCGGCTGCTCTCGCTCGAGCTCGTTCGTGGACTCCTGCCGGACGCAGGAGGCTGCCTGTCAACGTTCGTATGTGGTCGGTCGGTCATTCACCCACCCTGATGACTGTGTCTGGTGGTCCTACGTTTGGAGGACTACGATAACTCTCCACGTAAATAATTCCGCGCGATCCTGTCCACGGAAAACTCTGAATAATCCATAGAGACAACGACGGATACGAAATTCTTAGAAAATCGTTCCAGCCAAATTCGCAGAGCGCAGCTTCGGAGAGAACTTCGGAGAACCTCGCTATTAGCTGCCTGACTGAGGACGAATGGTCGGTTTTCTGGGAACAGAGTCAAGCCGTCCCTATGGCAACCGTCCCGCGTTGGAGGTTCCTGAGATCCGGCCGAAAGATAGAGAATAATAGTTGAATCAGATCGAGAGTGTGGTAGGCTCAGGCATTCTTTCGGACTGCATCGGGCAAAGATGTCGTTCAAGAGAGCTTTGTTTTTTCAGTGGAAGACGCTTCCAGGTTCCCATGAAGGTCTCAGATCGTCCGCTATCGTTGTGCGCTGTATGCATGGATGGATGGATCGACGGAAGGACAGACGAACGGAGCGGCAGAAAAGAAGCGAGGCCACTGACCCTCTCTGTGCATGATCATTAGACGAATCCGTAGAAGTGACACCACCGAGCGAGCAACAAAACGGCTTTGAATCATCGTCCTCGCATTCATTCATTCACTCAGTCCGACCGATTCCAAGTCTGCGAATATCTGTATGCAATCCTTACGAGAAAGTTATTCGTGGTCCGGCGACAATCATCATAAGCAGCTGATACTTCACGGGGAGGCTCTCCGAAGCGCACGATCAGTCGTCTTTCCGCACATCGACGATTACGTCAACAGAGAGGAACTCAATTTCCGCCTCTATGAGCTACGCTTACGTAAGGCTCAGGAGATCTTGGCTCAGACAAGCACGGGCAGCCCCCAACGGACGAATCAATTAGAGAACTCAAGCGTTGACATCCGGTACAAGGATACCTCCGGAATCGTTCCAACATACAAAGTTTCAGCAAAGCAATTATCAGGTTGGGAACCTATGAGATTCTTCTCCGGGGGCGATCTAGAAAAGCTTTCCAATTTTCAGATTTCGATGGTTTAGATAGTTCTTTGAATATTCAGATGCGTTCACAGGCTGCTTTGGACCAACAATACAGAAACCAATGAAGCAACGTAGAGAGCTCTTCGATGGAGAGCTTCGGTAGCTGGTGGTGATTTTCCTGCCACTGGAAGAACAGGTCACCTCTCGACGATTCTCACCGTGAAAAATTATCAAAACCCATGGAGATCGCTCCGAAAAGGACGACGTATCGGAGTCCACCAAGTCTCAGAGCGAAGACCTGAGCGAGATTGATCGACAAACAATCAGTAGCTCATCTGATGCGGAGACTTTTCACGTTTGGATGCGGACAGTCGTCTGACTGGGCATTCGCTTGCTCGAGCGAGAGCCAATTCAGGAGTTCCGAGGGGCAAACTAGAGCCTCGCTGTTTCCGGCCGCTGGATAAGCGTACACCGACCGTGTGGATGGACGGTCGACAGATCAGAGCTTTCATGTAAACTAATCCGCACGTCCCGAGAGCTCCGGAATCGAGACGCGAATTTCGGCGGCTTCTCGCTCTCCCAAGCTCAATGGGTAATACGAGATACAGAAGCCAGAAAACCGAGCGATATCTGGATCGCCGGCAGCGAGACGACGGCGAACATTTTTCGACAGGCAATCATTTAATACCGAGTGGAGTAGCATTTAATCTGTGCGCGATTGTCCTTCTTTCGGGCGTGGGGCCAGGCCTGAGAGAATTCGCTCGCACCGGATTCCAGGAGGCCTTTACTGGAGAAGCTGACTGGGAAGCAGCAAGCCCACATAGCTGCAGACAGTAACAGATCTTGACAATCCGGGAACTTTGACGACAGAGCAAACGCTGGGACTTCCACAGCATCGACTCGATTTTGTTTCGTTACCCCTTGAGAGAACAGTCGACCCCGGTACAAAGATTCGGAATGGAAATAACACACAGCTGCAGCTCCTTCTGTCGGGTGACGCTCGACGGGACACGCAGACGTTGCGTGCGAGCGTGAATGCGTGCGCGCGCTCATCTGTACCACTCTGCATCGGCCGGAGTGAGTTTTCTGTAAATTACCGATCAACGGGCCGAGACAATTCATCGAGCGGTGACATCAGTTCCAGGAATGCTCGGGACATCGCAGAGCAAACACGATCGGACAGACGGACAGTCAGCCGGCTATATCGTGTAGGATTTCCGCGAACTGAACAAGCGTCCAGGGACGGAGAATTTCGCGGCTCCTGAGAATCCCTGTTTGGAGTCGGAGAGTTGTTCACGGTGCAAGTTCACGTTTGGGTTGGCTCTGAATCTGTCAGAAATAATGCCAAGAGAGAATCGCCATAATCGTTACCATAGTCGTCACCAGAAAATTTCATATGAGATTACACCGCTGAAGGAAATAAGACCATCTCGGCATTGATTCCTCATGAGGGTCACTCCGTTTGTTCTTGCTTCGGCAAGCATCTCTGGTTGCGCGGTGCTTTAGTTCCCCATGAGAGTGAAGGAAAGACTCGGCGGAAGAGAAACGAAATGATTTAATTCCAGCGTCCGGCTGAGGGTGTCTTCATTCCAGGCGAGCGCAGTCTCAGAACAAAGCTGGCCTTGATCAACGAACGTATCTGGAATCACATTCCCAGAAACCGGGACAAACCATCCGTCTCCCTCCGATTCCGGGGAAGGAAAACCGGCCGCCTTGTATGGAGCATGTTCTGCGAGCGAAGCCGGTGACGACGCTCCCAACGACTGATGAGACTCGTGCATGGCGACAAGATCTGCCCGGGGACACCGGGTAGACATCTCAAGCCAACGTATCTGATCGAATGGGGAGCAATCCTGAATCGCGCCGATGCGACTCACTTGGAGATCAGCCGCAATTGACTTGGACGCTGATAAGGCGCTTGTGAGACCACCGCCGGATTCCTGGAGCTCCTTCGAAAAGCATCGGTCGGCGGGATCGGTGAGGAATCCGATTCAGAGCTCGAATCGGCGAGCCCTATAAGCGGCTGCATTAATTCCTTTGCCGCAATTCTTCCAGAGTCATGCTCGAAGAGAGGAATCGGAGGGTTTGGGTTCCGTTCTCGCCCTCACTCACTCAACCCCTCCCCCGCCCCATTATTTATCGGTAGCAATCACGGGTCATGGAATCTCAATCAGGAAATCAGCCGCAAATCACGTAACCTGAAATTCTCCGTCGGAAGATTGACCATTCAGAAGTAAGGCTTCTGAGAGAGTCGAATCAGAATACATGAGAGTCTGTCATGAGAACCAGGAAGCTTTTCGATTGGATCAGCTGATCGCATGCTCTGTCGATCGATCGACTGTCAAGAGGTCATCTGATGAATCAGGTGATTTTCGTGAAGCTCAATATCTACTGCGGAATGCACAGAGATCGTTGACAGCAGAACGTTTTGACTTCAAAGGTCGTGATTCAGGGATACCTCTTCAATATCAACAATGATGGCTCATGTTGTTGCATCTGCAAGGTCTCGCACCGTTAGACTACGTTTACTTCTCGCAAACGTTCGCTCCCAACGTTCTGCTTAATCAAATGTGATTAATAGCTAATGGGCTTGCATGGGAATTGCGGTATCTGAATGCTCGCATCGTTTTGAGCAGATTCTTGCTGCCCGTTTACCGATGCGGGTATTTTTTTTCTCGTTTTCTCGTTGAAGTGAGATTCTTCGCGCGTCTATGCCCCGCGGAGCCAACTGTTCCGCGTGACCAATGTGCATTTCGGGGGGATCGGACCGCGGAAATCGCGATTTCCGTCCACACACTCGCGATGACTTCTCTCGCAGAACGGGATCGGGAGAGGAAATCTGCGGCTGAATCCACCGCGCTGTTGACCTCTGTCCGGGAAGTGATAAAGTAGATCCGATCGAACAGGGTTGTCGCTGAGTGCTGTCAGCGACCGTCGTTCATTCCGTTTGGACCCTCGCTTAAGGGTGCTATCATCGTGGCGGCGCAGGTGACGAGGACGAAACGACTACATGCTTTGCAGAAAGCGCACTTTTGTGCTTCGTGTCCAATTCGCATGCCTACGTGACTGGTTCGGTCACACCCTGAAGTCTCGCCCGACGGAATGGTTCCATGAGTCTTCGAGGACGACGGATAGGAACGCACTCGCCGTCGGCTTGTCTGGGCGCAGCTTTATAACAGATACTCAGATTCGACTAGAAGAACAGCGAATCGAGACTTTCCACGACGAAAGCGAATTTCCTGATGATTCGACTCAATGCAACAGTAACGCTTCCCGTGACTCAGAAGCAGTCTGCGAAAACTCCGCTGCTAGCATCTAAGGCATCTGGAGAGTCTTCATTGGAGGCTCCTCTCTCATTGGAGGCAGCGTAAGCAGCTACAGGAGACTGAGACTTCAAATACCGTTGACTCAATCACTGAGCTGTCATGTGTCTACGCGGTGTTGGTTCAATGATCTCGCTGGATCGCCGACCGTAAATCCGTCGAGCTCCAATTTGCGCATCGGTCGCAGCCATTTCAGCCATCCATCCGCGATAGGTACGAACTCGGCTGGAGAGTTGTTATAAGAGATGCCTTAAGCTCAAAGAGCGAAAATATCGTGTGTACAGCATTCCCCGACTTTCCTCATGTCGTTCCGCGCTCAGTGCTAACGGTCGCTCGGCGTTGACATTTAAATTTGCGTCACATTTCCGCTCTGATCTGACTCTCAGACCGACCGACGACGCAGGTTGACTGACTGATTGGGTGGATGAAAGGCATGAGACCCTCCCAGTTTTGAAACACTTGTTCTGGGTAGGAATCTGAATGGAACTCGCGGAGGAATATATGTGGGTGACTGAATTTAAGCGTCCGATCCAGCAAAGTCGCGGTGACCAGTGAACTTCGCGAGGGACGACGCGCACTGCTCGCGACCGTAGACCGAGTCAGGTGATATGACAAGCGTATAAAAAAAAAGGAATGTCTGACTGTTTCTTTCGCTCATAGAATGCTCCGTAAGGTAACGGTCTGACGGATCAGTGTGTAGGGTGTGTTCGGCTTCACTCGAAAAGCGTTGCCGCCGCCGAAGGCAACGAGCACTTACCTTCAGAGCGTTGAGGTCGATGTCATCTAGAGAGCAGTTGACACTAGGGGCTCCGGCCATGATGCTGGAAAATTAGACGACAACGAGTTAGTCAGTGCAACGCTTTCTTTCCCCTTCGTTGTGCAACCGGGCGAAACCGTTCGAGCGAGGAAATTATCGGTGAAGCAAGAATCTCGAGAGCCCGATATCCCATTCCGTTTCGGGGAAGATTACGCATCCCGCAGACAGATCAGAGATCAGGTAATAGGTTAGCTTCTGCGGCGTCTCGCGTCGATAAAGATGAAACTAGGTGGCCAGCTGTGGCGGTTATCAGCGAATGGTTCCCGTCCTTTTGCTAACTAAGCAAGAAGATAGATGGAAAGAAACATCTCTCGAGGGAACCTCAAGGCAACCACACGAGGTACAACTAGTTTGGGTGGTTGCGGTTCCTGTTGTCGCTATCGAGATCTTCTTGTTGCTCTGAAGCCCTCGACTCAGAAATTTCGGGGGAACAGCTTATCCCTCTTTTTTCCAACTCGATGGAGACAGCGACGGGACTCGAGCGCAGAAAATGATCCCGGTTCGTCTCTGGATGACAGTTCTTCCCTCGAGAAAACCGTCAGCAGAAGTTCCAACCTCGGGACCTCTCCTTATCATATGGCACCGCACGAGAGCCGCACTTATGTAAGAGGAAACATCGACACTTGCAGAAGAGGAGTCACCAGTGAATAAATCCAGAACTCGAAGTTGTTGAGAGACGACAAGGGGGGGTGGTGACGACGATGTCAGTTTGGACTCGACGGTCCCTCGATTAAGTCATGGTCGTCGTCATCGCGTGGAATCTACCGGTTGCCAAACAGAAGATTCAACGATACTCCACAGCCTTTGAGAGGAGGGAAGAGAGTTGGCTTACTCACGTCAGCCGGATGAGACTGCTTCCTATGCACTTATTCAATTCGAAGACCTCCTTCCAACGGGCTTAGGGGGAGATAAGGAGTCGCGGGAGATTATCATTCCATTCTTTCGTCATCCCGGGAGCCCCGGGATGATTTTGATCCTAACCTGTTCGGCTATCCTTCACGTTGCTAGCACATCACTACGACTACTGCTGCTGCTGTCGTTCCTCTGAGGGCCCGATGGGCAGCGACACCTGAACAACAAAGTTTGACGTCGTCGTGGTCGTCGTCGTCGTCGTCGCCGACCGACGGAACAACAACAGAGGACACCTCCGATCGGAGCTCACTCAGCTGCGAACACCGCCTATCCTGACGGTAGTAGTTGCAGTGCACAACACTCACTCCCAATGTAGCACCACACAGATAGACAGATACTACAACAAGATGAAGAAGGAGACGACGATGCTGCTGCTGCGGCTGTTTCTGGTGTGGTGACGACCAGCGACGGACGGCCTTATACGGCGCAGCACCAACGGGTCCTGCAACGACGTCGACTCCAGCAGTCTCTGCCAGTCCCTCGAAACGTTCTTCAAGGGGGCCGCGAGAGGAAGCAAACCTCCGGCGGCGTTTCACTCTGAGCTGCGGCTGCCTGGCTAGCTGGCTGTCTGGCTGCTGCTGCGGCCGCTGCCTAGTCGGTTGGTTCGATGGCTGGCTGCCTGGCTCTCACTCAATGCTGCTGCTGCGCCGCTAGTGTTGCTTGCTGCTCGCTCTACCACCCAAAACAACATCATAGACCGACAGGCACACACGGACGGCCAGCACACACTCACAATGACTGACTCACTCGGCTCGACCAACATGGCGGCCGATGGCGAGGGCGGACCGCCATGCGGCGGTCTTTTTCCATGAAGTCTTCCTACGTGACCTCACTCAGAGAACTCGACGGGGATCTCTGGCTTGATTGCAGATTTTATTCTTTCATACAGGAACTGAAGAATCGAACTAAATCGGAACGTGGGGAGACCCAGGTGGAGGATCAGCGAAAATAATATTTCGGAGGGAGTCGAGGTGGAGCTTCGAAGGGGAGACGACGGAGCACTTTCGTGGAGATCGCCGCTGAGTTTTTATTTTCTATTTTTATTTTTATTTTTTATAATTTCGACACACTAGTATCCTGCGAAATACATGAGAGATTCTTAATCGATTGGGGTTTCGGAAGCGGCGAAGAGGCCATGGTGACTGAACTGAGGTGGAATCTTTAAACGAAAAGTGACAAGAACGATGATGATCTCTGCTGGCACTCGCAAGGTCTTGTGGCGGTTCCTCCCCGCTCTGAAGCTCGGAGAGAACCCAAATTTTACCACCGGTTCCGAGAAGGAATACGGCGCTTTCGGAGCGTCCGTTCACCCCATCGCGTCCGATCAGCAATCGGGAAGCGAATTGAGCGCTATCTGCAAGCTGCGACACCGGAGAATTCCGATTCTTCCTGGGAATCGATTGCGTATTCTCCCGAGCCGTTGCATGACTGATGGAATCAATCTCGCACCGATGCTCGGCGTTCGTGAGGCCTCTCAGGAGCCCTGGAGCTTCACGCAGGGAATCCTCCTTTTTCAAGTCAAGATTCCAGCACGTGTTATCGGGCGGGGATGGGTTCCTCATCCGAAGAAGATTCCGAACTGCGTGGAGATCAAAGTGGTTCTCGGGTCTCTTCTCTGGGAGGGACGAACTGAGGGCTAAGAGGACTATACGAGGAACCTGCGCTTTCGGAGAGTTTCGCAGGGACTTTGTGGAGATCGGGTCCACGTCCGGTATGATTACGCGTGGGGAGCGCTTCACGACCACCGGAAAAGTTCCGGTAGGCTCCCTGCAAGCGATCAGGAGACTAGAGGACAAAAGCGATGATGTTCGGGTGCGACAAGGACTCGGCCGGGTTCCAAGAGTAATCTAAGTACCCGACTTCGATTACTCATCGGGCGAGAATCCCGGGCCGCGGAGGAGAGAAGCGAGGACGGGGTTCATATATCCTGACGAAGCGCGAAAAAATCTTTCGACGTGTATGACGGCACTGAGAGACCTAGGACCGCAGAAATGGGTCACGGGCTTCCCGAGATACCTGCTACGAATCGTTTCCGGGGTACCTGTTGACGGAATACGCGGGGGGAGAGCTCAAGGAGAAGACCGCGAAAGTCGGGGAGGACCTAGCGATGGTGGTCGAAATGCTGGCGGGAGGGCCGCTGAAGGAATCGAGAGTATGAACGTGGGGGACAGCGTAATGATGGGATATGCCGAGCGAAAGCCCTCCGAGAAATCGTAAACTGAACGACATGAAGGAATTGCGTCCCCTTCAGCAGCGCCTCATTTGAATAGATTTTGAGCAGACCTCAAATGTAAGTCCCGCGCGCATTATGCGGAGGGAATGATATTGATATGGGGAAGGACAAAAGGAATTCATGCTTTCGTGCGCGGGACTTCATACAGAACCTCGCAGGAGCCGAGATCACATCTCTCTTCGAGCGAGAGCCGGAGAGGCAGAAAGTTCCAGCGACGGGGTCAGTCTGACGGCTCTCCGATGCCCTGCGAAGATGTCCACCACGGTCGGACACACGCTGAATTTCTGTTCCTGAATTGACGCTTTCCAAAATCGATAGAGATAATTCCCCATATCATTAGGAACGATTCTGGAGATGTCTGGGGTGTGATATGGACAGAGGAGTATCAGTTCTAGGCGCGACCCCTATAGATCGATCGAAGCTGCCCGGTCATCTTTGCAGCAAGACTTGTCTTCAGCAAGAGCGTCGCCAAGAACTTCTGTTCGAAGTTGTTGAGATCGAAATGAAAGAGGAGCCGGGAAACCATGACATTTTGGATGCCTGGAGACGACTCCCCTAACATCGCCACGGCAGACGAAATCCGACCTGCTGTCAAACAGCTCTATTCCAAAAATGTGGGATTTCCGCCAGCCCGCGAGGGGAGTCGAGTCCGATTGATTCTCCTTCCGGATTCCGGACAGGGAGACGTTCATCTGTCTCATCATTCCCTGGAGAATCCGCCGGTGCAATAAATCACACTGCTGTACGCATCTGACATGCGGAGTCCGAGAGGACGGCCTTCGGAAAGGACTCAAAGGAGACCCGTCATCGTCACCTCCTTATTCATGAGCGGATCCCCAGCCCACGTTCTGGCTCGACAAGTACCGCGTAATTATCGAAAATGCTTTCTAAATCAATCAATCATTGTCTGCTAGGATGATCTCGTGGCTCGACACACCGCGGGCAGCGTTCGCAATTCGCCACCGCGCTATCTTTCTTCGTAGTTCGAGATATGGACCAACGCGTCATCAGAACGGGAGCTCGAGCCTATTCCCCTTACACCCGTGTCAGTTCGCGCTTCCCCACCGATCCGATCGTACCCTAAGACCCTTAGCCGAGGGACCGTTCCGTCTCGAGTCGTTTACCCTGCTCTAATTCAACATTCCGTGAACGCCGCTCTTTTTTTCCGTCGCGCTCGTCTGTTCTGGATCCCCGGGAGAAAGCCCCGAAGCCGCATCGTTCCCCCATCGCCCAGGAGCTTGTTCATCAACTAATCAGACATATTCGTCCACCCAGCTCCACGGAGAATTCCTTCATCTCTCGAACGACTTCTCTGTCATTGTCCGAGGTGTGGTTAGCAGTATCGCTATGGGACAGAATGAATCGTTTCGGCAGACTATTCCCCATGATCCTGCGGTCCTCCATCCGCGGATCTAAAGTGGCCCGATTGTAATAGTAATGGTACTGGTAATTTATTGATCTAGATGGGTCCTCTATGTATATTACAAGATGGCGCATCAGCCTTTCATGTCAGGCGCTATTAAGCAGATCTTTGGTCTCCTTCTCCCATTTTTCTAGGATTCGTTTGGTTTTTGCTACGATCGAAGGGTCCTGTATTTCCTCTTGGAGGCCCAATCTTGAGAGGAAATCTTCGTCCGTGTAGTATGCGTCGTTGCATTCGAAGATCACATGTTTTACGGTCTCTTCAAATGTTCCGCATCTGGGGCAGGTGTCCTCCTGCTGTGGGTCACTAGACCTACCTCGGCTTTTCGTTGGTAATATTCCCGCTCTGGCCAAGGCCAGGAGAGTGTCCCCTCTTCGGTTTCCGTAGAGGAAGGTTTGGATACCGAGGCTGTCCTTGCCTTGCCGGTAAACTTCTAGGCTTGATTTCAGCATCATGTCCTGTCCCCAGACACTCTCCTGGGTCTCCCTAATTTTCTTTTTATCTGAGAGTTATAGGTATTCAAACATGGTGCTCCCGAGATTGAATATGCAACTTCGATTGTATCGCAGTTGTATGTCCTTTTCAGGTGTTCCGTTCTTTCGTACATCTTCGTTTGTATGCCCACTATCTTCATCATGCTCAGTAAGGCTGTTGGCCACCTGTCATGAGACATGACCTCGATTCTTTTCATATACCTCAGTTTGCTTTGGGCTTCCCTCCCTTCAAAGGAGGACCACCCGAGCTCGCCGGTGATAAATTCGTTCGCGGTTTTATAGGATGTGATTCCTAATGCCTATTTCCCCGCGTCTCTCTGCCGTTGTTCGAGTTTTGCGAGTAATTTCCCAGTTGTAACGGTTACTGCGTTTGCGTAGGTCAATTGTGGTACCGCGGTTGCCTTCCACTGCGTTCTGGAAACTTCGAATCGGTTGAAGCCCCAAATGGAAGTTGCGTGCATTCTGTGTAATGCGACTAGGGATTGTTTTTCCCAGATATCTTCCTGTACTTTCAAGTAGTTCTTGGAATTAGATAGAACAATTCCGAGGTACTTATAGTCCGACGTTATAGGTACTGAGCGACCCTGTATCTCGAGCCCTCCGCAGTCCGTTTTCTTGTTCGGAGAGAAGACGACTATGGCGCTCTTTTTTGGGTTGAATGTAATGTCGCGCTCGTCTCCAAATTCGCTCGTTATTTGGAGGAGTCTTCGCATTTCACTACTGTTAGTTGCTATTAGTACGAGATCGTCGGCGAACAGGAGGCCTGGGATTTTGAAAGAGCTATCCTCTTTCAAGTCCCATTGTGAACGATTGGCCACCTTCCCGAAGAGCGGGACGACCTCACGCTGGCTAGGAGCTTCCATTCTCATTGAGAAAATGCTTGCTCTGCCGTCCGATCCGATCGATCTTTCGGCCCCCGATGGAGCTCAGAATGATTGACGCATTTGTCTTCAACAACATGGCGGGATATGGCGAGAGCGATCGCTAGCTATCCGGTGTTCTCTCCTCGGATTTCCTCGAGTGACTTAATAGATGCCCCAAGGGGAACGCCGAAAAAGGGTCGCACGGTCTCCGGCCGAACGCTCTGGTGACCGTTCTCCGGTCGTACATTGAAAGCCTCATAGCCATCATTCGGAATCTACAAGAATGAGAAGCCTCGGGAAATGTGGGGAGCCATCTCGATAAGATCTCTGAATGAATGCCCAATATATGATCTCAGCCCGGTCCGGAGCCCCGGAACTGAGGCCCCGGTACTGCTCGAGACTGACTCTCCGGCGATATCCGCGGCATTTTCCGCCTCTGAATCAAACAAACGCGAGAACAGCCTCAATTTGAAGTTTGCCGCGTGTTTTTCTCCTTGAATGAACGCATGCGCTCGGCCATCTTTTTGTAAGAGAATAGTCCGTGAGTTGGGTCCACAATTCTCGAATATTTAGTCTGTTTATGAACGTCATATCCCATGCGATTGGTCAGAAGATATCGTCGAAGCATCGATTGAAGGTTCCGAGGTCAGTACACGTGAACAGGTGGTTGAATCCTCGAACAAGTCGAGCATTTCGAAGCGATGCTTGACCAGGCTCATATCGTAGCGTGCTTCTAGTTGGCTCTAGTACAATCGTATCGCGCACTGGAATATCCTAGAGTTCGTCCGACGTCGGACTTAAGGTCTCTCGTTTCATTTACGACGCTGAATACGTGGCGCAGCGTGCAGGGCTAGGCCTCTATAGGCCTGAGATCCGGTTGCCTAGTCGCTGGTATTGCGAACGTTCGTTGTACTTTCTCTTTGTGGGAAGGATGTGGATGAAACAATTCATTTATCGGTCGAAAACGCTGCGGTATTCTGTCGACGCCGACCGCGATCGCTGCCATCCTTGTCGGGTGCGTGTCGGGACATCCTTCCCGATAATAGTTGCATCGAGTTTATAAGGATTGGCTATTTATAGACCTGATCGCCATCATAGCAGCAGCAGCAGCATCACCCCCGGGGTGGTACGAGTGTGTGGTGCTTAACAGAAGCTTGAGGGCGAATGGTACCAAAGTTCGAACACGTCGAAACTTGGGCTGATCTCACTAGGATTAGTCTAGAGTTCGGATATTGGCTCGATCGAACGAGTCCAGTGACGCAGCGCAGAAACAGAAACAGACAGCCGAGTGTGGTACCTTGCCCTTCGGCATCCATCCGACAGCGTCGCAGCAGTCCTTCCGCTGTTGTTCGGCCACCCCCACCCCGTCCTCGAAATGCTCTCTGTGTCTTTCATGGTTTCGTCGATATGAGGGTCCAGTCGGAGTTCCCCGGTACTCGATAGTTTCCCGCTGGACTGTGGGAAGTTCTCCCTCCGCCGTAAGGTGAGCGCTTGGCACGCGATTCCATCCGTGAGCTGTTCGTTGTGGTTGCCAAGAACTCTCCGCTCGGCTCGTCTGCGGCAGCAGTAGCAACAGCGCTTGAAGTGCACTTCTACTCTATTCAACTCGCTGACCGATGCGGAAGTTGAATTCTACTCTTTGATCAATGACAGGCGATATCTCGACGAGGAACGCGGTCGCAAGCTGGAAGTTGGATAATACTGGCTTCTCGCGTAGATACGCATCGATCTCTCATTGAGAAAGTTATTAGAACAAGCATGATCTCGACATCGATTTTTATTTAGCGGGAATCATCGATTTCACATCGACGAACTCCTCGTCGAGCGAAACGAATAAGATTGCGTTAAGTGTTCCCGATTGCGTCGATCTGTACGAGCGCGGTCGACTTTCGACTGACGAGAAGGATCTGATCCCGGTAGCCGCGGATGATAATTCCCCTGACTTTGCGCCGCTCGTCGAATGTACCGAGCTCCCGTTTGACAAACCGAACGAACTTCAAGAACTGCGACAATAAGTTTGAGCTTTTGCGGTCGCTTGATCCGGCTCCGTTGCGGTGATCTCTGACACAGTGTCTCCGGGACACGACCGAAAGTATCCGTGTGCGTTTCGCGAGGAATTCGGTTCCGGGAATTTTAACGAGATTTATTGGCTCGGTCCATTCGATTGCTCAAGCACATGCCCCGAAGCATACGATGTGACATTCTAAATTTTTTCCGCTCGAGAAATAATTTCTCTGTTCTCGTTTTTTTCAGCTCGAGTTCGTACGGGGATCCATCGACTGACAAATAAGAGAAGAAATACAAGATCATCGAAGTATACCGTAGAGCCGGGAAATCTCCGACGGCTGGAGATTCGACTCGTCGCTAGTGCAGTCGAATAGCCGTAGAAATCAGCAACATCAGCGTGGAATCTTTTCCTTCTCCTAACCGGAAGTCCGATAGGAAGTAGGGCAAAGCAATTCTCAGTGCCCGTCGGTTACGTCTGAATGATCTCTTCGCGAGTTCCCCGTGTGTCCGAAAGTCTGGCCGCCGCTGAGGCCCCCCGTGAAAGGCCGCTTCAGGGCTATGGAAACAACCAGGGCCAGTAGAAACAGCCAGCGAGCAGCAGCGGCCCAGGTCGCCCAAGTCCACGATTCCCAAACAAGCGGCTCTGGTGGGAGAAGGCGGCCGAGCCACGAGGCAGCGGCTGGTAGTCCCATAGGGGGCGCCCACCCCCTATCTCGTCCCGTCGTTTTCGACGAGCTCGTGACCCCCAACACCACAACATCAACCCAGGGTACGTTTGCGTTCTGCGACTGGGTCCTTGCTAGGTACCTATCCATTTGCTCGATTCTTCGTTAGCGTCGTCAGGGAGGGGGCGGGGGCGGTCAACTCATCGATGTTTGGGTTGGGTTGCGAGACCCGGCAGGGCTCGCCGATCTCTGCGACCTGTGATCGAAGGGGGAACTAGCTGTGACTGCTGGATTGTGGTCTCTGAAGAGCAAAGCTGTATTCTAAGGGCGTCTCTGCGGCTCTGCCGAGCGGTTGACGGGGACGGACCGAGTGGATTAGCCCGTCGGCGAGCCTCGAGCGGGGGTTGAGTTCAACTGGTCAGTCGACTCGATGACTGACTCTTCGACTGACGGATTGGACGAGATTGACCGGCGGAGGGGACGAGAGACTCTGACGACAACGCTCGAGAAGAGATGGATCTCTTTGTCTAAGATTATTTCGGCATCTCATTTGCACATCTCTCTCCGAATCGGAGAGCCACCGCCGGCCTCCCTCTCTCCATAATCCACTTTCTTATGCATTTTGTGGGATCGTTGAGGGTCCTCGGGAGTTCACTCTCCAGCGTGCTTTGCTCACTGTAGTACTTTGTGTATGAGTGAGAAATTCGTTGCAGGGTCCTCTCTAGTCCCGGGACAGGCGACAAGTCCCGTAGGAAGGAAGAGGAAGTACAACACGAGATCAGCTTCTCGAGGTGAAGAAGCCCCAGCGTTGAAGGAATCGCTCCCAAAACCCAGTCGCTCCAATTCGCAATCAGAAGAAGCACAAGCGGCTGCAGCGGCCCCCGAAGAGCAGAAGGCAGTCAGTGTTTCGAAAAAAGCCCGAAAAAGTTCTTCGCAAAACGCAGCAGGTTAGTTGCCCGAAAACCTTCGGTGAGGGACCGCGTGATTATTCCCGGCGGATCACCCCTCCCTTCTCCGCGTACCAGAGTTCACTCCGCGTTGTCATTATTGTTCAGCATCTCAATTAACAGCGCTTCGGTCGTTCACTTCAGGAATTAGCCGACAGAGCGGTTCCGGTCGACGGAAATCGGGAGCGGCTAACACGCAAACGACTTCAGCTGACACGACGGGCTCTTGTGCCTCAAGCCACTCGCAGCACCCCTCGGGCTCACGCTCAGCTCTTTCTGTGGCGGCGGCGGCAGCGGCGGCGGCAGCTGCAGCAACATCTGCACTCAATCCAAGCGCCGAGGGCACACACGCCTCCAGCACGGGCAGCAGTAGCTCTAGACAGAACTCGTCGCATCGGGCACATCAACCACGTAATTTCGGTTTCCGAATGTCTTCTGGGGGAAGGCAAAAAATGCACCAACAGGTACGAGTCCTGCCCGGAAGTGCTCTAGAAGAACATGTCCGCTCCAGGGAGCGCGAAAGATCCACCCGATCGGGTCTGGGTCGCGGAGTTCAAGCCGGAAGTCTCATTTTTCACTCTTTACCCCACAGAACGAGCCCATGGAGAACGATTCACAGTCTGGGGGCGAATCCGTCCAAAACAATAGTAACAACAACGCAATGGATGCCCAATCCGCGGCCGGCGCTTTCGGTGAAGGTACGTAGCGGTCTCGTTATCGTCGTAAACCTCGCGGAATCCGACAAGGAACTCGCGCTCTCTGACGCTTATCGTTGACGTGGAAGATTTCGATGCGTTCTCATCGAGGAACTCTATCTCGCAGGCGGATCGACCGGCTCCGGAGAGGATGGCGATAATCGGCTACGGGAACTGCTCGAATCCAGGGGAATCCCACCGCACCTTCTCGGAGCCCTGGGCCCTCGAATGCAGCATTTCCTGCATAGGTACGTGTAAGTATCGTTCTGAGATCGGAGACAGGAAATCGATAGAATGTGGCGCCAGTTCTCGTCTTCCGCCCTCCCCCCTCCTTCCCCTCCGTCCCCCCTGAACCCTTTCCATGACGTTTTCTTCTCCTTCGACAGAGGTACCATAGGCGGCGTGTCGAATCTGTCGAGCGGGAACACCAGGGCGACGCAACTGCTCGAATCGTTGCGGTCGACCGATCAAAACGACCAACTGCAGGGTGTCATAGCGATGTGCGACACGTTGATGATGGGCAACGAAGACTCTCTCCCTGGTTTCCCCTTCAAATCTGTGATTCCCGTTCTCGTGGAGTTGCTGTCGGGACCGACCGATGGACGAGCTCCGAATTTCGAGATCATGCACCACGCGTGCCGAGCGCTCACCCACATGATGGATACTCTGCCGCGGAGTACGGGTCTGATAGCCGAAAGTATCCCAAAATTCGTCGAGAAGCTCGAGTCGATCCAGTGTATGGATGTCGCCGAACAGAGTTTGACGGCTCTCGAGATGCTCAGCAAACGACACGCGAAGGCGATACTTCACGCGAACGGTGTAGCCGGTTGTTTGGGTTTTCTAGACTTTTTCTCAATCAACGCGCAGAGAGCGGCGCTCACCATAACGGCCAACTGTTGCGCACACCTAGGCCCAGAGGATTGGTCGCTCGTGAAGCCCAGCGTACCTCTTCTATCTCAACGATTGGATCCTATCAGCTCCGATAACCCTGATAAGAAAAGCGTAGAGTGCGTCTGCGCAGCTCTATCGAGAATCGTCGAAGCATTCCAGGGGAATCCGGAGGTCCTGCAAGAGGTACGAATCCCTTTCATGTTGTCCTGGGCGCTCAAGGAATCCACCGAGTCACGCTCGGCATTGGTACGGGGGACCCGGCTCGGCATCGCCTCGCGAACGAAAACTGACACTTTGATTTTTCTCCAGATGGCGCCCCGATCCACTTTGGATTCGATCCAGGCCCTTCTCCTCCGCCATCCGCCCCTCGTTTCTTCGCACACGTTCGTCATAGTTATTCGAATGCTCGCGCTGCTCTGTCAGGGATGCCCTTCGATCGCCGGTGACCTCCTCGAGAGCAACATTGACGAGACGATACGTCATCTGTTGGTCGGCGCTGATCGAGACGACCTCAAGGAGGCACCTGAGCTCTTGGCAAGATCGCCCCAGGAGCTCTATGAGATCACCGGGTTGATCATGGAACTCATGCCCCGTCTTCCGGACGACGGTGTTTTCAGGATCGATAAACTCCTATGGAACCCTCAGGGTTCGCAGGGCTCCCACAGCAGTATCACGAGTCAGGCCCAATGGAGGTAGGTTGAGCCGTTGTCTCCCTGATTTCCCCTCACTCCCAGCAGAGAATTTTCCGGTGAACGTCTAACCGAGGGTGCGAGGAATAACGAAATCGATTGTCATTCGCAGCTGGCAGGACAACAACATGGAGTTCCAACCTTACTCGTTGGTGGACAGTCGGTGCATCGAATCCGCGCATGACAACGGCGAGGAAGAAGTCACCCTCTCGATCAACGGGAAGACGTACGCTCTGAACTTCTCCTCGTTGCAACAGACGAGTGAAGACAGCGGAACCTCAAGGGCCATCCGGCGGACCGTCACGAACGACGGAGCGTGCTCGCATCATTCTACCAGCGCCAAGACGAAAACTACCACAGTTTCCAACACCAAAGACGTGCGAAAAGATTTCGTCAAGGAGAAGCCCGAAGTTATCGCCAAATTCGTTCACAGTCTCATGAACATTCTCTACGAAATCTACGGCAGCAGCGCCGGTCCGACCGTCCGCCATAAGTGTTTGCGGGCCATGTTACGCATTGTATATTACACCGATTCAGCGACGCTCGGAGGAATTCTTAAAGCCGACTCGGTCTCGAATCATCTCAGCCAAATGCTGTCGGCCCACAACGACATACGCGTTACCGTCATGGCGCTCCAACTCACGGATATCCTCATGCAGAAGATGCCTCAGATGTTCATTCATCCCTTCAATCGCGAGGGGGTCCTGCACAAAATTTCCGAGCTCTCCCTGCGGACCGTTGAGCCCCTCGAACTGGTACCGACAGCGAGCCAAAGCGGCGACATGTCGTCGTCGGGATCCTCGCCCTCGGGCTCTGGTGTCGAACCGTCGACGTCGGCCGAGAGGGAAACGGACCCCCAGCAGCAGCAACAGCAGCAACAGAACGCAGCCTTTGGACAACGTATTTTCGGCGATATGTTGAAACGAAAACGCACTTCGGGTGCTGCCGCAAGTGCAAACGATAAGAAGAGACCGTCCGATTCACGCGGGAAAGACCCGAGGAAACCGAAGGGCCAGGAAACGAAGCGCGCCGGCCCCGCCACAAGGAGCAGACTTTCAGTTCATGGTGATTTGGAAAGTCCAGAGGATCAAGCCCCCAAACCGTCGAGTTCGGGACAGGACTCAACCCCTGGCTCCTCGAATTCCAGTCCCGTTTCGCTGAGATTCGCGACCAGCAGTGCTCGCCTTCTCGGTGAGCCGGAGTCAAGCCACTCGAGCAAGAAGAGTTCCGCCTCTGGCGGTGCAAGTTCAGGTGGAGGTTGCGCAGGAGGCGGTGCAGGCGGAGGGGGCGGAGGAGGAGGATTCCTCTCGATGGTACAATCTCGTTTCGGTAAATGGGGTAATCAGAGCCCGAGCGCACAGCCAGCGGCAAGCAGCAGCACGCACGTGTGCGACCAACAAGTTACTCTGCACCAGCAACAAAAACGACACAGGCAGCAAGTGGTCCGACAAGTCAAACAGTGGATTCATCACGAGAGCATTTGTCTCAAATTGAACTATTTCGCCAACTACACACAGCAACTGTGTACAAGCACACTCGAGAAGCTCGAGAGCGCGGTGGCTCTAGTCAAGGTGGGTTTGGGCTCCGTTCCACGGACGTAGTATATGGTGATAGTTTCCGCGAGCTCGAGCCTTCCCCAGGAAATTACAGCATACAATTTATGACGAAGGAGCCCCAAGAGGAGCTTCTCCTGAAACGATTCGTTTGCTTTCGATTGCAGGCCGGACAAAACGACAGCTCAGCACTCGCGCAAGGCCTCAAGACGATCTGCGAAGTTCTCCAGGAGGGGGACGTATCTTCATTCGAGCTGATCCACTCAGGAATGGTTGCTGTACTCTTAGATCTCTTCGCTCAGCCTGGGTCAGAGGAATTTTCCCGCAATGCGAAAATCATGCTGCAGGTGTTCGCCGGAGTTGACACGGTGAGTAATGGACTCAATCGGAGTCCAAGGAGGAATCATTTTTCTATTCGAGGGTTTCATCGATGGAGATTCTCGAGGAATCAATTCTGCCCGAACTTCGAGTCGATGAGACGAAACAGAAACCAATTATGACTTTTTTCCCCGTTTCACAGAGCTTGAGTGCGTGCGATGCCCAAATCGAACCAATCGCAGTTCCCAATGCGACACCGCTCTTGAATCTAGTAACGAGACTCAACTCGTGCGTTTCGCAATTAGAACAGTTCGCGTTAAAGGTTCACGACGTACCCGGAGGTGTTGGTGGAACGCGCGGCACATCGGCCCTTAGGTTCTTCAACACGCATCAACTCAAGTGCAACCTCGAACGTCATCCCAGCTGCACGAATTTGAAGCAGTGGAAGAGCGGACCGGTGAGAATCGATCCCTTGGCTCTAGTTCAAGCGATCGAGCGATACCTTGTAGTCAGAGGATATGGCCGAGTACGCGACGACGACGACGGCGGATCCGAAGAGGATAATAGCGACGAAGACCTTGACGAAAGCATGATGCTCGGAACGTCTCAGGGCCACAACCGACACCGGTTGCAATTCCTGATCGGGGAAACCCCTCTGCAGTACAACATGACAGTGTACGAAGCCATAAAACAGTATTCCCATCTGTCTGAAGGATCGGCCCATTCGGAAGCCGATCTTTTTGACGTTAGTTTCGGTGATTCCGCTTCATCAGCTGTTTGGACTCAGACGCACACCATCTTCTACAAACCGGCCGCGTCGGAAGAGGTCGGACAGAACGGCCTCAACCAACGCAAGAAGAACAAGGGCGGCAGCAGCGGCAAGAAGCAATCTGTCAGAGACGATCTCTGGAACGAGGGCACCACTCCTCCGATCGCCTGCCCTATCGAAGGAGCGCTGGCGACAGGGAAAATGCACGAGACGAAACTGCATGACCCTTCGCTCAGCATGCTGTCACTGCTGCGGCTCTTGTACACCCTGAGCAATAACTGGGGCTCGCTGTATGGAGTGCATCACTTTGTCCCTGCTCTACAAGAAGAGGTATTCCTTAACGCCAAGATGAGCAACAAGTCTCTCAGACAGCTTCAGGACCCATTGGCTCTGATGACAGGGAACATCCCGCACTGGCTCAAGACATTGTCGGCATTTTGTCCCTTCGTTATGCCGTTCGAGACGCGACACAACCTCTTCTACAGTACCTGCTTCGATCGGTGAGTCTTTCAGTCGGAAATTATCTCTCCCAGCTCGGTCGAATGAAAGAGAGTCCTCTCCCAGTGGCTCCGAACGGAGAACTTCTGATTTATCGAGTCGTCGTCCCCCTTTACAGCGATCGTGCTTTGCAACGCCTTATGGACGCGAGCCCTGAGCTCCACGCCGCGGACTCATCGGAGAGGGTGACCCCACGACTCGACCGCAAGAAGAGGACCGTCAATCGCGACGATCTCCTCAAACAGGCCGAGATGGTCTTCAACGAGATTTCAATCAACAACAGTCGTGCGATGCTCGAGATTCAATACGAAAATGAGGTCGGCTCCGGGCTTGGTCCCACTCTGGAGTTTTACGCTTTGGTTTCGCGCGAACTCCAGAGGTGCGATCTTGAAATGTGGCGAAATTCAATGTCCAGCACGGATCGCGCCCTCTACCAGAAGGGTGGCGAGAAGAAGTTCGTCTTCAGCCCTGGAGGTCTCTATCCCAATCCCCTGCCGCGTAACGTCAAGTCATCGCAGCTCAACAAACTGAGAAGCCGATTCAAGATGTGTGGCAAGTTCGTGGCCAAGGCTCTCATGGACTCCCGTATGCTCGATTTGCACTTTTCGGTGCCCATGTTCAAGTGGATGCTCGGCGACGAGAAGACGTTGTCTCTGCGTGATATGCAACATCTGGACGAGCAATTCTTCAAACATCTCTGCAGTCTGCAAAGTCTCGTGGAACAGAAAAATCGTATCGTCGCTCAGAACAGGTGAATCAAAACGATCGAACACGATTATTGAGGAAATATACTACCTAATAATTGAATTTGTAGTCCGAGAGGACTCATCGTTGTCGTGCGCTCACTGCCCGTGTCTTCGCTTCCCACAGGAATGTCGCGGGACCAGCTCTCTCGAAAAGCCTCGAGAAACTCACGCTGGACGGATGTTCAGTGGAGCTTCTTGGTCTCGACTTCACCCTTCCTGGCTACGACATCGAATTGAAGAAAGGTGGCTCGAACATCGCGGTGACAATTCACAATCTCGATCAATACATCAAGCTCGTCGTTCACTGGACGCTCGTGGAGGGCGTTCGGCGTCAAATGGAAGCATTTAAGGAAGGATTCGAAAGCATCTTCCCCATCGAGTCCCTCGGTCACTACTTCAGACCCTCCGAACTGGACCGCGCAATGTGTGGAGACTCGGCTCTCTGGAGTCTTGAAGTGCTGCGAGAAGCGTGCAAAATCGATCATGGCTACACTGTCGACTCCCGAGCCATTCAATTCCTCTTCGAAATTATGGTGGAGTTTGACAAGCATCAACGACGCCAATTTCTGCTCTTTGTGACGGGGTCTCCCCGACTTCCAGTGGGCGGATTCAAGGCTTTGGTGCCCCCGCTTACAATCGTGAAGAAAACAAGCTCCGAAGGACTCTCATCCGATGGCTACTTGCCATCGGTGATGACATGCGTCAACTATTTTAAACTGCCTGACTACTCTTCGAAAGAGGTTCGTGCTCGCCCCGAAGCCCATAGGAAGGAAAAGGATCCGAGAAATTTCGCATGACAGGGTGATTCCTAAAATTTCCCTCCCTTACAGGTTATGCGTGATAAGTTGCTGATAGCGCAGTCTGAAGGACAGTGCTCGTTCCATCTGAGTTAAACAAAAAGGTCGTCTTAGATATCGAAAACCAATGACCATGATGGGAAAAATCTACCAGGACATCGCTAGCAAGGACGGCATGTGCGCCTACGGAGGCTGACTCAGTGAGAATCGTGAATTCCGTCTATGAGAGTTCACTCAATTGGAGAGTAGTCGAGCCGATTTCGCCGATTCGAATTCACATTTAAATTAAATCATCGAAACTGCAGCAGTAGCATGCAAATGAAAATCAAAAGGATCGATGGCGGGAGCGCGTTGCCCGACGGAAGCATCATACGAAAAATGTCAGGATTCTGGAGAAAAATCCACTGTTCTTCGATCTCGAGGCTCGCTCGCAGTTGTCTCGGGACGGATCCCGAGACCGATGGAAACGTTGTACAAAAAGGAAGAAAAACCTGGCCTCTTCCCTAAAATACACGATTGCGTAGGCCGGCGATTGAGTCCTTTCCTTCCCCGATTCTGACGTCAGATCGCGGAAGTATTCTTACGTGTAGTTGTTCCTTTCTTTTTCTTACAATTCAGGCAAGCGATAACCCATAGACTTACACGAATTTTCTCATTTACTCTCGCATACAAGGAAAAGATACTATCGGTGATCATCATACAAGTGTAAAATGTTTCATAGAGGTTCTCCCAATCGTTGGGATTTCCGCCCCCATGTATCAGTGCTTTTCTGTAGCAAAGAAAGACACCTGTACCACTCAGGAAGAATCGTTGTTTCGCTGGAGATTCGAGCCGTAATCGCAAGTGTATTTTTTTATGTCCCATGGATTACACAGGCTGCTGTTATCATGGCATGGCGGCACGAGCGCTGCAAAGCTAGGATATTCATAAGTAAGATTATGGTCGATGACTGGGGAAGCTGCACTCGAATGACTGCACCAGGAAGAAAGCGGAGGAAAACAAAACTGTTTGAAGTGATCTATATTAATACGTGAGCGTTTTCCATGCCAGAACGACGTCTTTTTTTGTGGAAACAAGAGGATGATCGACAGCTCAGCGTTTGAGACTGGCTTGACGGGGATATCGGGGCGAAGATCATTTTCCCGTGTGCCTCAACAATTTGCATGGACTCATCCATGTTGGGGAGCAGACACATTAAAGAGAAACGGGATCAAATTATCATTGATCAAGCGTCGACTCACCTTAGCGATCACCCCTCGATGATGATGGTATCGTTCGAATCATCACGATGATAATTGAGCAAGCTTCCAAGTCAGAAGAGCCCCTGAATCAATATTTCCCGGGGACGCCGAAACGGATATACGAACGTACTAAGGGCATTTTATTATGTTGCTGATTTATTCTGGAGATGCGAGTGAATAAAAAAGTATCGTCGTTGAAAAAAATCCCGGAAAAAGTCATCCTTTCTTTAGGGCCACCGTCTTCGTCCACATTGACTTATGAGCTTCGAATGCATCACAAAACAAATTCGAGCATGGTGCATATTTAGCACTAAGGTTCCTTATCCGATTTACAACTATCGGATATGGTGTGCGACGAGGGGTTATACATATAGGGGATCAACTCGAGGAGAAAATTATACCACGCAGATTCAGGGCCGACAGATGAGCAAATATGGAAACGTTCCGAATAGAAGAAGGCGCAATCCTCTTATCGGGTATCCAGAGGCGTAGCCGTTTTCGAGTTCCTGTGTTGTGCCAATTCCGAGTTCCTGAGTTCTGCGGACCGTTCGCGAATGTCGGACTCGGACTGTATGAGAGTTCGGAGGGATAATGAGCCATCGGTCCTGCTCGATACAGGGCTCGTGAGAAATTCACGAAGCACCGGCGGAAGAGCGACTTCCGCCGTCTTCGCCCACTTGGGACGCCTCCGACGCCAGCTATCCAATTCCCCAATCGATATATTCTAATCCGATTTAGCGAACCTGAACGCACATAACCCTCGGAATTTCCTCGTCAAACGATTTCGAACCGCGCGCCCCCCGTGCAGTCGATCGCCTACCTTGTTGCTGACACTGATCCAACATGGCCGCGCCTCACCACGTTTCGACTCTTTTTCACGGTAGCGGCCCGTCTGCGAGGGTGCCGACCACGGATTTCAGATTGAAATTCGCCCAAAATGGTGAGTATTCCAACGCGGAAGCATCGATCAAGACGCAGGGAGTCACGAGGCAGCTCGTGATCGGTAGAGATCGGCCGAGCGAAGATTGTTAGATCGATTCCGATGCAATATTTACACGCGCTGCCCAGCGTGGCGGCCGATGGCAGTTTCTTCATTAAAGGCCTCGTATAGCTTGTGGTGCAAAGAAGTCTCTAATATCGAGCTGATGGGCGCCATAAGTCGCTGGGCGTCGACTAATCTACCTTCACGGGTGTAACTGAAGGGAGCAGCTTGTGCTTCTACTCCATCGCAGTCGACCCAATCCGAATCCGCGAACGATCTCGAATAGACCAATGATCCGGATCTCTCTGTTCCAGGGTATCGACATCTGCCACAAGAACGAGCGTAAGGTTGTTCGCCGCAACCCGAAGAGCGACAATGTCTATCTTCGGTTGTTGGTGAAGTTTTACCGCTTCCTGGCTCGCAAGACGGACGCGAAGTTCAACAAGATCATCTTGAAGAGACTTTACATGAGCCACATCAACCGTCCTCCGATGTCGACTTCAAGAATCGTGAGTTTCAGTCCCGATGTCTCGCGAGAGAAATTTAGCACTTCCTCCAGCTGTCTGTCGCACGGGGACGAGCCCACACTCAATAAGCCTCCGACCTCCTAGAGCAACGAGCCTCTCCGGTTGGTTCTTAGCTGCTCGGCGTTCTGCTGCTCGGCTGATGGATCATGCCGGAGAGGTGCTCATGGGGACCATGGGTCGCGGGTGGGTCAATGTGTGGCAAATCGAAGCTTCTCCACCTCTGAGCTGTCGTCCGTAGACATGGAGGTTCAGTGTGACGCAGTGGGAAAGCAACAGAAAGCATTTCCGTGGGATTCCGCCACACGAGACTGATTCGCTCTTGGGATCGGACGGGGAAAACCCTCCCGGGGAACACCTAGATTGTTTGAGTAGTGGGATTTTTCCTCTCCAATAACATGCAAACCTGTCATCCGTATTTCAGGCAAAGCTCATGAAGAGGCCAGGACGTGAGGGCAAGATTGTGGTCGTTGTTGGAACCATTACGAACGACACCCGCCACTACGACATGCCTAAGGTCACCGTTGCTGCCCAGCGATTCACCGAGGAAGCCCGCAAAACCATCATTCGGGCCGGAGGTGAATGCATCACTCTCGATCAGTTGGCTCTTCGTGCTCCGAGAGGGGAGAAGACTGTTCTACTTTCCGGAAGGAGAACAGCCCGTAAAGCATGCCGTTACTTCGGTCCGGCTCCTGGTGTGCCAGGAAGCCACACTCGTCCCAGAGTCATCTCTAAGGGACGCAAGGTTGAACGCGCTAGAGGCCGAAGGAAGTCCAGAGGCTTCAAGGCCTAATTCGAGGTTGAATTTTTCGACCGGAGAATAAAGGATCGAAAGAAAACGACGAGTCGTCCTTTTCTGATTTTCCGGACTGAAATTACCCAAATATACAAGTTGGACATCGAGGATGTTTCCGCGATCAATCGCGGCATTCGGAGTCGATTCCTCACAGAGATGGAATGGAGGTCGCGGCAACTCGCGATTCGTACGAGAAGTGGCCGCGACGAGTCCACAGCTCTAATTACGATCCTTCTCGCTAACGATGAGCTTTTCGTTCGGGTGTGTAGAGTGCAGGTCCGCCTCTACGATACTTTTATTGTCAGATTCTGTGTTAGGAAAGGCACCAAGGCTACAAGATTCTAATAGATCAATAAAAAAATTGGAGACATCAGCTTAGCGGATGCCATCGTGACACCTTACAAATCACAGCGTTCTGTGTCCGCTGCCGAAGGAGCCGGGTCTCCCCCAGCTCTATGGTCTGCTGTCTCGGTCCTCGGAACGTCCCCCTCTCCGACGATCCGATTCTAAGATCCGCTCTCAGTTTTTCGTCGATTCACCGTCGACTCCCTGAGGGACTCGATTTCTTTCCGCGCATTTTTGCCTCGTATGACGCTTTCTACCCCGGTGTAGAATTTTCGGAATGTTTCGACGAAAGTCGCCTGGAAAACCACGAAGTTGTTTTCTTCCTGGACGTCATCAGCGGACCAGTGAAGGACTTCGAACTTCTTCTCCGAGGCGTCGACGTGCGTAGCGGCATGGCACGAGTCTCTGCCGGCTACGCCTGTCTCGACACGGAACTTCCCAATCGGCTTATTGGAAATCGGATTCAAAGCCTGGAAGGGTAAGAAACTCCACTGTACAAAGCAATCGGGGATTATCGTCCAAGGTTGATCGGATGGGCTCAACCTCCCGGACCCCAGAGAGCCGGTCGGAAATCGCCGACGCCGAGTCATTCGAGAAGTCCGATATACTCCATAGGATTAAAGTCTTGAAGAAGTAGTCACCTTCACGAGGAACCCTTTGAAGCTTCGATTTTTTGAAGCTGTGAGAGCCACCACAATAGAGTCATTTCCAGGAGTATAGGTCAGTTTAGATTGACGGACGGCGAACGGGCTCTCCTTCACAGGTTGGGCATGGAACCCGAAGTGAACCGGAGTCATTGAAGAGCATGAAAAGGAAGGAGCTCCACCTGGGAGAGCTACCGTACACTCGAGGAATAGGCACAATAGCACGAGAGCGCAGATTGTCGGAGCCATCGCGTCAAATAGCTGTTGGATTCGATGACTTCGAAGGTCAACAACTCCGTGCGGCCTTTGCCGATGAGATCTGGCACGTCGAGGCTTCACGTCAGCATCGATAACGTGTCGCGACATTCCACAAGTCTATCCCCACGCCGCCGCGGCACGGAGCTGGGCATAGGGATTCATTCTCGGGCATCTTCTCCGTCCGATGTCCTCCTCCTCGTTGTACCGGACGCCTGCGAACCGATAAGGTCCGATTCGCTTTTGCTAAGGCGTCTCATGCCTACCCGAGTTGAATCGAGCTCTCAGGGTCCCCATAGCCTCGGACTAACGCTCCTTCAGAATTTCTTCCTCGTGGTATCCATCGACCTGAAATCGCCGATTACAGATCGAAGTCCATCGATTCGATTCCCCCGTTTCAGGGAACCTCTTGATAATTCGCCTTTCACGAATATCTTAGCCCATTCAGCACGGTGTGCGAACCTGTTCGTTGAGGGCAATCAGCAATGACCGCCACCATCCCGGGAACGGAATCAGCGTTGGAGATTCTCCACTCGAATAGCCGCGCGCGCTTCGCTGCCATTGCAGTAGCCCGAGGAAAACATCTGACTTCTCTCCGGAAACCTCCGAGTGCTCTTCGCTCACTGTGCACGCGATCAATTACAGTCTCGCGCATTCTCGTTTGATTCTGCGGAATGTGAGTATCGTGTCATGACTGCTGGGAACGAGGATAACGAAGCCGAGACCTTCTCCTCAATCTATGAGCCTAGCGCAGTTGCTCGGCAATGCAGCTGACGGAGGAGTGTTGATCGCTTGACAGGGAGATTTTCAAGGGCATTGCGACACAAACTGTGTTCCATGAAATTCCGGGAAGATATATATCTGGGATAAGGCGTAGGCCCCTCAGAGCACAAATCGACGGGGTCTCTGTTGCCGTATCCCCGCCTTCGAGACTTTCAGGACCGGGAGAGACTCTGACCTCAGCCAATTGCAGAGACGGATGTGCAGAGAATGCTGAAAGCTTTCTTCAATATAGGCAATTCTGTTGCGGTCGATGGCGAGGCGAGTGCGGACTCTTGGTCGAAGCTCCGGTACCGAGGGTGTTCCCTCGCACGATTCGGTGTGAAGAAGCGAAATCCATCATTTTGAAGAGCTATTCGTCATTCACAGAGAAAAGCTGGTGCTGAAATGGCCAAAGTTTGCCTGATCGTCATCGACGGATGGGGACTCTCGGACACCGTGAAGGGCAATGCTATCGCCAATGCCACCGCTCCCGTGATGAGCGGATTCGCTAAGGCTGGACCGGAAAATTATCTCACTCTCGATGCGTCCGGCCTGGCCGTCGGACTTCCTGATGGCATGATGGGTTAGTGTGACTCGCAGCGGTCGCCCCTACCGGAATCGAGCGCTCAACAGCTTCGTCGATGAATAAGACTAGTTGGATGAGGAGTCAATCGGTGGGGGAGGAACTTCGGCACAGGATTTTAAGAGCGATTTTCCGACAGGTAACTCCGAGGTTGGTCATTTGAACATAGGAGCCGGCCGAGTCCTCTTCCAGGACATCGTCCGCATCAACAAGGATGTCAGCGCCAAACGCATGCACGAGAACAAATATTTCGCGGAAGCTTGTAATCGCGCCAAGGGCAAAAACGGTCGTCTCCATCTCATGGGTCTCGTTTCCGACGGGGGTGTTCACGCTCATATCGATCATCTATTCGCTCTCCTCGACGGAGCTCAGAAACTCGGAGTACCGAATGTATACGTACACTTTTTCGGTGACGGCCGCGATACCCGGCCGACGAGCGCCACCACATACATCAAACAGGTTGGAGTTTTGGACTCGTCAGACAACAATTTCTAATCGAACAAGTCCCCATCCAGTCTAAACTGAATTCGTTTTCGTACAAGGTGATCGACCGATTGGCCAGCACTGGTTTCGGTAAGCTGTCCTCCATCGTTGGTCGATACTACGCCATGGATCGTGACAAGCGCTGGGAGAGAATCCAGATCGCCTTCGAGGGTTTGGTCCAAGGCAAAGGCGAGAAAACATCTCTTGAGAACGTCATTTCTCTCGTCGAGGGCCGGTGAGTACGAGCTTCCTTCCCGAGGGTAATTTCGTTTAAGCTATGGAATTAATTCTCGACGGATCGTTTTTGTCTTATGACAGATACAACGCCGCGGACGTATCCCAGAAGCAGACCGATGAATTCTTGAAGCCGATCATTATCAACGAGGAAGGCCTGATCAAGGATGGCGACACAGTGGTGTTCTTCAACTACCGATCTGACCGTGCGAGGCAACTCAGCCAGGCGCTCGGCGAGAAGCCGCCCTTCGAAACTTCAGTCATCCCCAAGGTTGTATAGAAACGGGGCAACACGATGATTCCATGGACCTGTGTTTTCCTCCAGCTACAGTCTGGAGTCTTCCGGCATAATCTAAAGTCTTCCTCCCTCCCAGGATATCGAGCTCTTCACCATGACGCAGTACAAGAAAGAGTTCAACTTCAAGATGCTCTATCCCCCGGTCGTGCCCTCGAACGTGTTGGCGGAGTGGTTGGCGAAGAAGTCTGTGAAGCAATTCCACTGCGCCGAGACTGAGAAGTACGCTCACGTCACTTTCTTCTTCAACGGTGGTCAAGAGAAGAATTTCGAAGGCGAGGAGCGTTGTATGGTCCCATCGCCCAAGGTAGGCTGGAATTGGAGCGTCGTCGTTTCGACCTAGCGGGTTCTCCTTCTTGAACCGGAGCCGAACATTTGCTCCGTATGTGCGTCCATCGCTCACCGGATGAATCGCTTTCCAGGTTGCCACGTACGACCTGCAGCCCGAGATGAATTGTCAAGGAGTTGCGGACGAGCTGTGCAAGGCGATCGAGAGCGGGACGTACGCATTCACAATGTGCAACTTCGCCCCTCCAGACATGGTTGGCCATACCGGGAAGTACGATGCCGCTGTCATCGCATGCACGGCCACCGACAAAGCTATCGGACAGGTAAAAGAACTTCCGATTCTTCTCGATGCGAGAGCTCGATGTGGAATACTTCGCCCTTGATCCGAGTCCCCGATCTCAGTCTCGTCTCCTCCTCCTCCGAAGGTGGCAGAGTGCTGCAAGAAGAACAACGTTGTGCTCCTCGTGACTGCGGATCACGGCAACGCTGAGCTCATGATGGACGAAGCCGGAAACCCAATCACTCAACACACTACGAACCGCGTACCCTTCGTCATGCAGGTGCGCTCCTTTCGGAGTTTTGGCCTTATGTAGTTCTCTCATCATAGTGATGTCTCAGCTGTCTCACATACCATTGATCACTCCTCATAATAATGAAAAATCATCCTATAATTATTTGAACTAAGGCGTAATCTGAATTTGACTTTGTAGGGTGGCAGCAGGAAATTCGCCAAGCCCACTCATAATGCTGCGCTCTGCGATGTGGCACCGACGGTACTCGACCTCCTGAACTTCGAGAAACCCGAGGATATGGGCGGTGTCAGCCTCCTGCAGAAGTAAATCGAGCTCATGGCGGAATCCACGTACGGTGAGATCTTTCATCCGATGAGGGCTCTGAGAGCGCTCATTCTAGTCTAAGACGGAGAGCCGACTCGACGGATATGCACGATTACATCAGAAGCGGTACTTGACGTGATGAATACTTGTTTTCCTGCGATCGATGATTGATTCCGGTGGAGAGTATCTGATTTTAATTTAAATGAATAAAATCCGTTGATCATCCTCCTCCGCGAGCTTGTCACTATCGTAGGGCCTGAGACGCCAGAACTGCGGAATCACCACTCAGCATGGCTTAAGAATCCCGAGAGCGACGCTCCGGTCTAATATCATTGAAATAACTAAGCGATTCCGGGTCTATTCCCGGAGCTTGAAAAGGGTAGAGACGCCGTCGTTCCTCGCAGTCGATTATTCTGGAACTTGCTAACTGTACCACATGATTATTCTCCGATCTCCATCACGAAGGAACGGAAAACCGATTATTTCACTTGAGTCGAACATTATGGACGACATTCGAGGCCCCGGATATCACCTCCGAAAGGTACGGCTCACATTGATGGACCCCATGGGACAATTCCCTTCATGGGCAGGGAGACGAGAGTTGTGTCGGGAGATAGAAACCTTCCCGGAACCGGTATCGGGGGCACTCCCCTCCTGGAAGGTGTCAGACTCGTGGTGTTCCAAGGGACGCGAAGGCTGCTGCGCTTGTTCTCGCACTTCGTCAGGGCTGAGGATCGGATCCCGTTCGAGCCGTCAAGAAAGACTGAATCGTCAGAACGCATCCATCATCGATGACTCGCTCAAACTGCCCTCCTACTCTCCTGAAGCTTTCTCTCAGCGGCTGTCACTAAGATAGGTACACACATATTGGAGAGATGAGAGAAAGATCTACTGAGAGATCTCGGAGATATCGAGTGCCATGTGGAAGTTCCAGGTGGCGGAACCTCGTTGGGTCGCAATCATCGACGGTCTTTCGGAAGGATGCGTGAGGCCGCATCGTGAGGGAAATTATCGAATGTGGAGAAGTGTGAAGGAGCCGTTTTCATCCATCTCCATGGGCTTCTGTTCGACGGTCATTCTCTACGCAACGCTGACCACCCAAGCCCGTTTCACCGTCATGAGTGAAGATGGATCCCTAAGGCGCGCTGCGAGCGATCGCTGCCAAACCCTTGACGAACGGTCACTCGTCATTCGTTTCAGCGAGGGATCGGAAATTTACTTCGACTCTTCCAGTGTGCTTCCTATCTCGGCCCATTACGATTCCCGTTTCCGCGAAAGAGGAGCGTCGCGCCTGTCGAGTAAATTCATTCATTTGTGTCAGTACAGCATGAAAAATGACGAAGATAAAAATTCCGTGTCGGTGTCGCGGGCAGTGTTCTGTCCACTCCGAAAAACTCCTCTCGGATCACTTGTAGCGGATAACGCGCGTAGCTTGCCGGAGCAGCGATTATTTGGCAAGAAGTTTAAACAAAAAAGTACCGGGGTAATCCTCCGGCCCCACGGACGAACGTGGTCAAATAAAGCTTCCATGTTCGTTCTGGTCGGAGGCTAACGCGCGAGCCAGCTAGCGGACGGACCAGCAAGCGAACAACAGAAGCGAGTCTGCTCTTGCTGTAGTTAAAAGCTAATCTGTCACGTGGAAGCGAATCCTCGTCTCGATAGAAGCGGTGCAAACATTTTCGCTCAATTTTAACGATCTAGGCCTTTAGCGAGTCTCCTCGTGGAGCCAGGTTGTTCTTGACTCTGAGCTTCGAGCTCCTGCCGAATATTTTGCCTCAGACACCGTTTTCCCTGGAAGCTCGTTCTGGCAGAGGATTCCGACTCTGGGCAGAATCGCAGCCAGGTGCCAGATTACATTTTCGAGGATATTCCTCTATTGACCCACGCAAAAAGCGGAAACCTTCAGAAGGGTCATGGGAGATAGCGGGGTGGACGATCTTATAGCATCCGCACCGGAGATCAGTGTTTCATCGCACGAGGTGGATGCGAGAAGAGCAACGGGGTGGAGATGGGGAAGTGAAAATTCCACTGGGTTCATGATGTTGACGGGTTTTTGAGTAGAAATTTCCCACGGTCCGTTTCCCGTTGATCTCTCGGTGTGTTTTGAGACCATTAGTGCCTCGCTGGCAAAAACGAACAATATTCGTAGTCATTGACTCGTACGGAACGAACAAACTGAGATTCCGAGCTGGGAGAAAACGAAACCCGCAGTACTTCGAGATCTTCGTGAGCTTCGCGAAGTCGCATACCAAGCGCCGTCCCGAATCAATATCACGGTTGGCGGAGCCGGCCAGGGAGCGAAACTACGATAATAGTATCAGAATCGATAGCTGTCCGATCTTATTCATCTATTTGATGATTTTATTCGCCTCCAGAAGCCAGACAATGGCAGCTAACAGACCCGAGCGCGTTCAATCCCCACGGGGTCAGAGCAGGGGAGAGAAGATTACTTCGGGGCTGCTCGAATGAGGCGCTCGTACGAGCGTCCAGTCCGTGGACTAGTGTGGCTGTGGTTTATTCGCTAGCTTTCCATGCATCTACATAGGATGTATATGAGCGTCATCCCGTTCGACCAAACAGACACGGTCCATTGTTTGTTGATACAGAACGAGAGGAGCCGATTGGTTAAGACTGTCTCGCAAGGACCGAGCTATGCATCTTCCCTATTTGTATTCACAGCAACAAGAAACTCAGTTGATTGAGCGGACTTCGTGAGCGATCGATTTGCTATCTGAATCGAAGCGGGTACTCCGAGGTGACTTTTCCTGCGGCAAACACGAATTCATACGGAATTTCCGCGGAGAACTTGTTGCTAGAAACCCGAGAGCGCCTCCCTGTCACTGAGCGTTTCCTGTTCCTAATATTCACAGACGAGGAAGATATATGGTATCAATGATAGGGAATGGTCCGCCGGAGGTGCCGGCATGAATGGTCCGGAGGAAGTTCTCCACTTTGAGAAATTATCGCATGGAAGCGGCTGCTCAAACAATTAAACAAGGCGTTGGCGATCGGGGCCGCAGTTATGCGGGTGGTGGTTTTCGCAGCGGCAGCAACGCTGCGGTAGGACTTATGGTCGTAGCCATAGTAGGTACCTGCACAAGATAAGACATCCCTAATTACACAGATGAGTAGCGGCAACACAGGTCCAAGTTCTGAGTGACTGAGTGAGTGCTGAAGCGGTCGTGAAGACACCGCTTTCCGGAGCCAGTTACCCTACTCTGGGCTTTCAGGATCGGGAATTATATTTACAACGGTCTACGTGGCTCGTTTTTCTTTGTCAGGCTGCTGCGCCACAGTAGGTCTGTATTCGGCTCAGTCGGAGGATTGTTCGGTCGGTCAACGTGGAACCAAAGCTGAGTCAGGCACCCCCGGCGAATCCGCGGTCTCTGCTTACGACGAGAGATGAAGACATAAGATCAAGATTACTCGTTACGGAAGTAGTTTCTCTGCTCCGAATGTTTCCGTCCCTGCTCGTGTTCTTGTCGGTGTATCCCAACCAGTTAGACAAGTAGTCCCTCATTAAGAATTTAGTCCAATTGGAAGAAGCTAATGCGTGGTTTTTCGACTCAGTTTCTCGGCCTTGCCCGAAAATTTATTGTAACGGCCATCCTGAATTGTTGTTAAATGCTTCTGTGAGAAAGATCCAACGAGAAAAAATTGGTAAGTTTTTCTACCAACTCGTTTCCCCGGGTCGACCGTCAGCTTGATCCTCAAGGGTATCAGAGACTCAGCCAACAGCTTCAGACTCCATTTTTTCGCTGATCGATACGTTCACATACTCTCATCGGTTCTCTGGAGCTGATAGTCGTTGAAGATTACGCGGATACGCGTAATCGGTCATCAGGAAGAGCGGATCTAACGTGAGCGCACTTGATCCGCAGAAGAAGTTTTCTCCCCGCGAAAAAAACCCTCATTGTCGTTCTCGACCATCCTAGACCCATCTCTCGCTCGCTGCTAAGTGTGTTTTGTACCTTCAACAATTTTCGCTTCCATTGCAATTAAACGGACAAAGGAAAAAGTGGCGGGAAAAACGTTCCACAGCATCGGTCCCCCTCTTTCGTTGCAACCGGTGGTGCTGGTATCCCTGCCGGTAGTGCTTGCTGTGCCAGGGCTGCTGATGGTGGCAGTTGTGGCGGTGTCGTTCGCTTCTTTTTCTCGTGCTTTTTTCCTTCCTCTCCGGGTAGAAACAATGGCGGAGCGTCGTCTTCCAGCCGCTCTTCCGCCAGCTGGACATTGCACGCAGCGAACTTTCGCGTCGATGCTTCTAAGAGCTTCCAACATGGAACGACGACACCGTCGGCAGACGCGGGCGCTCCCCGACGCGGCCGCCGCGCCGCTAGAAAGCAAATAGAATCAGTAGGTCGCTATTCGGAACGGAAAAGAAAGCAGAAAATTAACGCATGCCAAAGCTACGTTTGAGCTCCTGGCGGCGCCAACAGGAGCGCGAGAAATAGAGAAGAGCGCGAGACAATCGCAGACTGACAGACTTCATGTCGATAGACACACGAAGCTCGCTGCAGTGCGTTTGTGTGCGGAAATCTCACTCAGCCGTCCGGACGCGTCTGGTGCATTTCATTTGGGAACGGCCGATGAGTAGGCTGCCCAATGTCCAAACATTCCACCCCTCATGATGATGCTATCCAGTCGGCTGGCGAGCGGACGAGCAATACCCAACTAAGTCAGACTGGAACTTCTGAAAACAGAGCGGGCTTGGAACGATCGGTCGGTCGGTCCGGGAGACGGACAGACCGATAAGCAGGCGGACGCAGGGCTACGGGGGATCTTCGGCTTGCAGTCGTTGCCAGAATTGACTAGCAACGTAGCCATTACGCTAACAACTAGAAGCGTCGCTCGTGAATTCGCATGCGTCGTAGGTACCGGCGCGGCGGTTCGCCCGAGGCTCGTAGCGGTGCCTGTCGTGCTCGACGCGTGTCATCGAGGCGGCGCTCTGATCAAAACTCGATCGCATCGTAATACCGTTTAGGCGAAGTAAGACGTCCGACAATGTACCCTGCGCCCAGGCGCTCTCGCACGCAGTCGCTCGGAAAATGAGCGGACGGACGAATGCATTTCTCGGGAGGTGGGCGCTGGTCTGAGGAACGAGGGAGTGCGGGTTTCAGCCGTTTTGCCGAGTCATAAAAGAAACTGCAAGTGTTCCTCATCTGGCCTCTTATCGG